CTCTATTGCGCTCTCGCTCTCACTTTCTCTGATCTCTTTGCTCGAAGCGTACAAATACAGGCACAGCCTTCGCCCTGACCTCATTCTGTTCGCCGCCTCCCCGCTGTTAACATATTAATGATAGTGGAAGTGATAGTGATTGCTCTTTGACCTGACCTGATTAGTGGAATACATCTGGATAACCAAGACGAAGTTCACTGCGATGATACCATGGAAAGGTTAATTAAAGTTACCCAGAATATAATTCTACGTTGGAGGAATACTGTGGTAAGTCTTAACCATGATAATTATATACTATACATAAATAGATGCTATAGGAGGATGATCAGATCTAGATCTAAAATCAGTTGTGTCCAGCTATGCATTTATTTTCCAATAAATTACAATCCCCATAGCGAAGTCTTGCATATGATCTGTTAGTTTTCATTAATCATTTTAATTGTAATATAAATTAATCTTTGAAACACCTGTGACGCAATAAGATAACGACCAACCCCGACCGGATTTTCCTGTGGCGCCTCCTTAAACCTTCGCCTGGCCATTGAGCAGTTTTCATTTAGTTTGCAAGGGGGAAAAACTGGAAAGCCAGATTTGAACGGAAACGAAATTGATTGGCACATGTGTGGTGTGTGTGTGGGGCTTCCATCTCTCTTCATTTTTTGCCAACGCCAACGCCAACGCCAGAAAGTGACTGCAATTATGCAATCAGTCGCCAGCTCGCCGGTCGTTTGCATGTCCCAGTCAATTGGCGAGCGTGACTACAGCTGACCGAGTGAAGCAAGTGGGGCTACTGGCACTCCGATCTCCGTTGATCCACATAGTTAGCGGCTAATCCGACAAATATTCACCATTATCCAGTATATCTTTTGTTTGTCTGAAGAGACCGCCTTGGGAGGTCTTAAGAAACTAATGGGAATAAAATATTTCCGGGGTTTCTAGAGGTTTTTAATGGGTTTAACACCTATTTAAAGATAAATTGGAACACTACTATATTAAATTAAAATTAATATAAATGTAAAATGTAATATATTACAATATATTTCTTCTCTAATTACTGTTTTCAATTTATGAAATTTTTTTATGGATTTTGAAAGGTATATCTAAAATATACTTCAGTTTATTTCTAATAAATGAAACCCTACAGCAATTTTAACTTAAGGATGCTATTAAATGAGTGTTGAAGCTAAAAGATTTTAAAGATTAATAAAACATTTCTGTAACCTTTAAATTTATAATAACACAGACACAAGTAGAAGCTAAAGAGATAATATAAACCAAGCGTATACATTTTCAAGTAATATTAATTCGCTTAAAGTGGAAACTATGCAGGGAAGTCGAAGTACTTACCGGAAAAAATCAGCATAATTCGTATATTTGTTTTCAAACCGTACTATTTTTTATTTCATTATCCATAAGGTACTTATTTTCATACATGTACATATTATGAATCTCAAATGAATTAATGGACTTCGGATATACCACACTAAAAAGCATTACTTAAGTGGCATTAACCAGATACTAAACCAATGTTGGCTTTACATGTTTCAATGACGTGTTATTTGCTCAATTTCAAGCCCAATCGCTTGGCTGGGTCAGCGAACTCGAAGTGAACCAGTTTTACGGACCACTTGCATTTCCGCAAGCTGTCCAAACTGTCCAAGTGACCCAAGGCAGGCGCCAGAGCGTCTCTCATTATGCGATCGTTGGTTGAGTCGACTTGACTTTAAAATGCTGACCAAATTAATAGGCAATCGAATGGTTGTCTTTAAGTATGCAAATGACACATCGAAGCACCGCCATAAAAAAAAACAGAGACATAATTCATGCACTCGCATTGTTATGGTCATGAATTGCATGCGAAGTTCGTGTCTTAAGTCTTTCGTTTCGGTGTCAACACATCATGGCGCTTGACCTTCAGGCGAAATTTGTCTTCAATGAGCTGCAAATGGCGTAATTGAAGTCCAGTGATTTCTCAGAATTGCAGTTGTACGGAAACTGTAGCAGCAAAAAAAAACTAAAAAAGTGGGAAGCATTCGTTTAAGGCGCCCACCAAACTGGCATACCAGATCGGCCTTATATGGCCAACTCTTGTGGCTGCGCACGCACTTTGTCAAAGCAGTTCGTCCAGCTTCCTTGCCTATGTTTATTTTCTACTTTTCGGTGGCCAAGCAGGAAGCCAAAACTCAATCGGAAGTAAGAGCACAGCACAATAAAAATAAAATATAAATAAAGTAAGGTGTCAGTTCATTGGCATGTGTGTGATTTGGTTTGAGTTTGGGACTGTGGGCGTTGGCCCCGCCTCTGGCCGGACAGAGTTATGCAGCCCCACACCCACACTCTCTATGGTCGATAGCCATTCCGGGACAATCTGCAATCGCTTTGGCAATCGTTTTGGCAATTCAAATCAGCCAACGCGCCAGAGAGCTAGGAAATGCATGCCAAATGTTGCTCTAATTTTCATGCCGGAACCGATTGCAACAGCAAAAGAGATATATCTTATAAAATTTGGTAAAACAATTGAGATGGTATTTGCATAAAAAACTAGGTATGGAGTGTGTTGCCTAACCATATATTTATATATTATATTTAATTAAACATCTCATGATGCATGGCCAAGAGATATAATTATTAAAATGCAGAAATGACTACAAACCTATATAGTTTTGCATGATTATAGAGAAAGTGAGAAAAGTTATTTACCATGAAATAATATATGTATATTTTTTAGATTTTCTTTTGGAATATATAACAGCAGGCTCACTTAATAGATTTTAGGTTTTCTTGCAACAATTTTATTGAATATTTTAAATGACAAAATTAAGTTTTAATTGGAGTATCAGTATCTCGCAATTATTATTGACTGATTTATATTTCATAACTATTAACTTAAAGCGTAATGTAACGTTTTAGATTACACTATATAATTCGTTTTTATATTTTTGTATTCTGTGCGTTACTTTAAACTTCATATTATAGAAGATTGAGCGTTTTTATATTATATTATTTAAATAAACATTTTACTATCTTTTAATCATTTTAAATGTTTACTCAAGTGAAATGTATTTGTATATAGTTAAATTACAGGTGTAAAAGTAAATGTATATTGAAAGAAACATATATTTTTACAAAAACCTAATGTTTTTAATGTTTTTTTGTGCATTGTTTATTTTCTGTGCAGAAATACTATACAAAACACCCTTGTAGCCGCCGCATACATTGACCGATTACCGCCAACGATAAGATGAATAATCATGAAAGGCATAAATAAATAAAAAATAAAACTCCACATCACTTTACACAGAGAAGACAGCGGGGAAAGGAAAGTAAAAGTGGTTCAACACCGTCTGCGATTGGGAGCTTGAAGTTTCAGTGGCGAGGAAAAGCTAGAGGAGATCGGTGAAGATCGGAGGAGGACATGGTCTAAACTGAACGCATGGCCATGGGCAAGTTGTTACGCATTTCAGTCCAGTTTTTTTTTTGATGTTGTATATTTTTGTGGCTGCACTTCCTGAAAGGGGACTCTATATGTATGGTATCTATCTCAAATTGATGAATATTAATATGATTTTCGGTTCACTCGTCCGGTGCTGAATCACGTTTTTTTTTGGCACGGCACTTCCTTGTACGGAGGGTGGTACTGCCTGTCGGAGGCGGCAATTGATGGCCAGTCCATTAAGGGTGAAAGGCAAGGAGTGAAAGTCCATCCAGGACAGCAGCACAGAGAACGAACATTTTTATTATTTGTTTACTATTTTGGAGTTAATTTGTAAGTATTATGCAACTAATTAAGCACTTCCCACAAAGTGGAACGGAACACGCACCTGGAACTCCCTGAGCTGGCCGGGTAGCTCATTCAATTGAAATTAAATCAACATGCAATTAACTTGCTTTTGGCCAAATGAATCGAACCATTTAAAGAGCGCTATTCCGCATGTCTTGGATCCCAACTGAAAATGTGGCAGGAAATGAAATGAAATGGAAAATGAAAAATAAAAAATGAGAAATGCTGGCTATTGTCTTAAACGGATTCCAGCCATTTGGCCAACTGTAAGTTGCCAAATAGCTTGGCCCGGCTTGCATTAGGGATGAATGGGGATCTAAAGCATAGACACGTCCACGAGCATTGCCCTTAACCGAATTACGATGGCTGGACAATAAATTACATTAAAAACTATCTAATTAATGCGACACCACCTGGCATATCAAAATCCACCTGCAGACGTGACGACCTTCGCGGCGATTGGACAATAAGAATTCCCAAAAAACAATAATCACTCGACATGAAAAACCGAAAAGACAACGCAATAGGCTGTGTGGGTTTATTATTTCTTCGATTTCGATTTGTTTGTTTTGTTGATTTCCTCCTAGCCATTGCGTGCCATTAATTTGCATTGCCTAAATGAACTTTTTTCTTTATTGAGATTTATAACATTTATGGCCATAAGCTTTTCGTGGCGATTACAACATTTGGAGCAGCCAGCAGACCAAGTCACGTCTCTCCAGACCCAAAAAAGAGCTATTAAAAAAAATTGTTTAAAAATATATACAAAAAAAGAGAGGGTTATATATGAAAAGAAAGAGAGGCAAAGAGAGCCCCAAGCCGGCTTGAAGCTTTGGGAGCAAAAGCTTGTCTTGTTTTGGCTTTGTTTACACACGAAACCGTTATCAAAATTCAAGGTCTGGCTTAGCTTCGACTCTCGTTTTCACTGGCGAAACACCAAGCTGAAGAAATAGAGAGTAAGAGAGAGAGAGACACACACAGGGCCTGCTCTCATTTCGCCGGCTGCACCTGAGCGTCTATTTAACCGTAGGTGCCCGATCTTCGGCGCGACAGTCGATTCCACGAAAGTGGCCAAGTAGGTGGTAACAGCCACCCAATCTCCATCTCCCCCACAAGTGGCACAGAGTGATATATAAACCTAAAACCCAGATCCGTTGGAATAGTGCATACTCAGATAGTGCTATATCTTAAGCGTTTTCACCAGCTGTAATCGGGAGCCATGAGGATCCAGCGGCACTTTGTGGTAATTACCAAAGAAATATACAAGAAAAGTGTCGCGAAATGGAACATTAACATAAAGACATGGGGGTGGAACTGCAAACAAAGTGGAACTAATGGTGTACTCCGGCCCAAAGTTGGCAATTATTTTATTATATTTGCATACCTGGCAAAGTTGTAGTTGTTCTGTTGTGCAATCAATTTTCGGAGGGGATTTATGCCTCAGTGAGTTCCTTGAAGGAAATTGCAAGATATTTTCTTCCAAATTACGTGATAACTTTGTATTGGGTAACCTCGTTGTAAATTATGTTTTTGATTTTAGAAGGTTGAATAGCAAAATTTATATTATTTACAGAATTATAGAAGCCAGTCAAGTGGAAGCTATTTTATTTTATTTAAATACTTATTTTAATTTAGACATGATAGATAAATATATTATAGATTATTTGGCCAACACTTAAAACTTAAATAATTGGGGAATAGTTTCTGTAAAGTGTTCTGGTATTTTGGTTTTATTTGCTTTTACAAAAATAGATCTTAATCATACAGGAAATGAAATGAAAAGTGAACACACTCCAGGAAAAGATGTACAACTCCATAAGATTTTAAATAATACCAAAGATTATGTTAATAATACTCAATCTTAAATACATTTGCTTTTAATGTACATATTATATCAAGGGAGTCAAGGTTTCAAGTAGTTTTTTTATCCCATAAAAATAATATCAAAAGTACGCTTAATATTTCAAAATCATATCCAAGTTTACCTTAATTACTTCCATTAAATTTCATAATTTTTTCCTTAAATGCTATGATTTTCCACGAATTAAATTATTTCGTTACCAACAACTCCATTAACCATTGACTGAGGCAAGAAAGGGATTTAAAACTGGCCAAAGAAAAACACTTTCTTCCTGCTGGTCAACATCGTGATCCATGGAGTTGGACCCAGACCTGGTTAGGTTGCTCCATCGGATACTGCGGCTGCTACCGATTCCGACTCCGATTCCCTTCCGTCGCATTGTCAACAATTAAAATCGCGATCGTTTCATTAGCGACCATCGGACATACACACATATCCCCATGGGGTGCAGTGCGGCAGCTCTTTTCCCTCACGACCGATGATCCAACTGGTGCAGGCGAAACCCGCTGGCGCAGCTTTCACTGCCCCCACATACGATGGATTTCGTTGGGGAAGCCGGCACGAGATCGATCTGCTACAATTAGCACTATTCGTGGCACGGCGATGAGATAATTTTTTGCTGGCGCTAATTTCCATTTCATAATCCGAGGCTCGTTGACATTTATGCGCAAATTGATTGGGATTAGGTTGTGGACTTTTGAAATTGTACCCACAAATCGGGTCTGATTTTGCGAAATCCCCGAAAAGGCGTTGGTTGCTATGACCTTGTTGGATTCTCCAAATAAAGAGCCAGAGCTTCGCTTGCGACACTCCTCAGCCAGGTTCCATATTTGTGTTTTTGCCTTTACAATATAAAAGGGGAAATTTACATAATAAAACAAATTGACCAAATAAAGAGGGGCAGACCTGAAAAGTCTTTGCCCTGCGTCGTTATTTGTCATCGGCATCAAGTAGGTCTTGACCCAGGTCAGGCTTTGCACGAAATTATAAACATCACAAAGCGGCGGCGGCGTCAGGTTATGATGCAACATTTCTCTCTCTCGGCCCAGACAATGCCAGATTATGACCCACTTAAAACTCGTTTCCAGTCACTCACCTTTCTTTGGAGAATATGGAATTCATTAGCCATGATCGTTGCGAATTTAATTTGTACAGGCTTTCCCGCCTTCGGCATTGTCTTGCCTTCCCTTGCTCAGTTTGTTTCCTAAGTCACTTGATGGTATCCTCTTCGTGTTGCAGTTGGGTCTGCTCGGTGTGCTCTCTGTGGCCATCGGTGGCAGCCAATCGAAGGCTGTCGTGGACCAGCAGCCTGCCGCTTCCCAGGTGGACAGCAAGAGCGTCGCCCAGCAGAGGATCGATCTCGGGGGATTGGGTGATTCTCTGTTCCACGAGCATCACATTCACGAGCACGTTGAACACCATGAACATCACCACGATCCCGGATACTGGAAGAAGAAGGTGACCTGGAAGGAGGGCTGGAAGAAGGTCTGGAATCCGGCCAAGAAGCAGATCTGGAATCCTTCGTGGAAGAAGGTGAGTGAGAGGATTTAAATAATTTCCGATGAATTTAATACAAAGAAAATTAGAAAAAGAATAATTTGTATTTCGATTTAAAAATTAATATTGTAACATTGTACATTTTTTCTTTTTCAGATCTGGAAGCCTCATTGGGTCAAAGTGCCCGGCTGGAAGGAGATCCAGGTTCCTGCCTGGAAGCAAATTTGGGTAGGTTCTCTATTCCAACATCCTAGAAGAACCTATTTAATTATCTTTTAATATTAATTAATTATTAAATTAAAATTTCTTTTTTAAAGGTTCCCCACTGGAAAGAGATCCTAGTGCCCGCCTGGAAGGACATCCAAGTACCTGATTACAAGCAGATTTGGACACCAGAGCTGGTCAAGGTAAACATATTATAAACTGAAACAATTAAATTAAATATAAAATAATTGGAATTAATTTTCAGGTTGGCATTCCCGGCGAAAAATATCTGGGCAAGGATCATGAAGGTTGGGAGTACACTAGCCATGACTTGTGGAAGAAGGTAAGTTTTTTAATATCTTCAGAAGAAAGTAACTTCTAGAAACTGTTATATTTAAAAACCCCCTAGAAAGTGGTCTGGAAGTCGCATTGGAAGAAGATCTGGAAGCCAGCCAAGAAGCAAATCTGGGTGCCCGAAAAGAAGCTGGAGTGGAAGGAGGCATGGAAGCAGTACTGGAAACCGGCCAAGAAGGAAATCTGGACTGACAAATTGGTAAGTTTGAATATAATTTATAAATAATAATAATATTTTCAAATGGATAAATATTAAAAACAAGAAGGGAAGCTAACTTCGGCACGCCGAAGTTTATATACCCTGGCAGATTTAAATTCGATCAGTAGAAACTACTACAATTTAATTTACATATATATTTATGTTTAAAAAACAATGAAGTAATGCTTGCTTTCATTTCATTCGCCTATAGATTTTATATTTACAGTTTTACATTCACAGTTTTGCATTTTTATCTATTTTTAACTATTATTTTTGTAAGGCAGATATATGCTATATATAGTATTCCGATGTTCATAAAATTTGACACAAAATTCTAGATTAATGTATAATGGCTATATATCAAATTTAATGAAAATCCGTTGAAAAATGGAAAAGTTATAATGTTTTTTTTTTACAATTTTCCGATCGTTCCTATGGCAGCTATATATATGTATATATATAGTCCACCGATTCGCCATGCTCCGATCTATATACTAGTAAAATTATATAGACGAATAATTCCACAGTTTCATTCAAATGCACTTAACTTGGATCCAAAACAAATCTCGCACATCTGAGCATATGATTCCCAACTGGTTCTAACATCCCCGGAACGAAGTGACTTCTGCCGGCCAGGTCTCAGAAAAGTGCTGTGTTACAAAAGTTGCAAGTCATTTTTTATTAGTGTTCAAAGTTAGTAACTGATCATACATATTTACTGGTCATAGATACTTACTGATCATAGTTACTTAATGTTTATTGATACTTACTGATCATAGTGATATAATACCCTGCAAGGGTATAACAAAATGTAATTTTAATCTGTAATCTTTTCCTTTTCCAGGAATGGAAGGAGGCTTGGAAGCAAATCTGGGTGCCCGGCTGGAAGGAGATCTGGGTACCTGGCTGGAAAAAGATCTGGAAGCCCGTGGTCATCTCCGAATGGTTCCCATCGCCCGATCACCATCACCATCACCATGAGCACCACGAACATGGCTGGGATTGGGATCGCAAGGATACGGCTACCGCTGGCTCTGCTCCCGCTCCCGCAACATCGGCCCTAAAGAATAAGGTGGTGTGGAAACGAGATGACACCAATGCTGCCGGAAAGCCCACGCTTCTACAGCCTGTGGCCAGTGCCGACTTCCAGGCCAAGGCCCTGGAGGCAGCCAGGTCACCGGTGGCCGTTCCCGCCGCTGCCTCGGTGGCAGCCACCTCGCAGTCATTCAAGTTTCCCGGCGCGTAGGCGTCGCTCAGCATTCGCCATTGCATCACTGAGACGCCCAGTTCCCCCCCTCTGCACCAGCTCCTTGTAAATAGTCGTAAACCAGTCGTTAGCTCATAAGGCCATCCATCCACTTCCATTTGCCTGGGCGCCACTTTAAATTATCTCTAGGTTTTAATTACCAGCCGAAAGTGAATACAAAATAAATGATAAATAACTAAATACTATACTTTTAGGTAGATTCCATGGTGGATCAGTCTCTTGCGGTGCTTACTTGTCCGAATAATGGCCCTTCTCCGCCTCCCATTCGTTGGGGACATTGGGCAATGGCACCCACTCGTTGTGGATGGTGGGCGTCCAGACCTTTTTCCAGACGGGCTCGTAGATTTTCTTTGCCCGCCAGTACTTCACCCAGCGGGCATTCCAAGTGGTCTTGTTGGCCCAGAAGCCGTCGGCCTGCGGATCCAAGGTGTCTGTGTGGCTCACACTGCACATTATTTGGTGAGGGAAAGGAAGATAGTTTAGTGAAAGTGGTCTAGTGGTTGGATGTTGTGTAATCCTCTCACAAGGTGGTTGTCTTGCCGCCCAGGCAGCAGCTGAGGCAAATAAACGCCAAGACCAGCAGCATCAGCAGGGGCTTAACTTTAACACTGATCCATGGATATGTCTCCTCCATCCTGTTGCCACTGGTTCGCTTTGTCGTTGTCGTCAGGTTTCGCAATCGACTGGCGCCGCGGCTAGACAATCTCCACATTTTAAAGACCTCGCGCCGCATGCTCCCTAATTGGGATTCAGTGCGTCTGTGCGAATGAATTTGCAAATTCAAGCACTTGGCACGATCTGATTTGTGTGTAAATAACCCTTGGTTTGCCTTATATAACCCACAAAACTCACATTTCTTTCTTTCGTTTTATAGTTTAATTTGTTTTTGTTGCATTTCCTTGCCTTAAACTAGTGTAAAAACTGCTGCAAATGAAAAATCTGTATGTGTGACAAAGCTCTGGAGTTCAACAATTCACGAGGCCATCTCAACAGAAAAAAAATAAAAAAAAATAGAAAAACAATTAATATTACTTTCGTTTTGCTAAAGAAATTCACGCATGCAACTTATCGGATAAGATTTATATGTATTTTATAGCTGTGTTACATGTCTAGAGTGCATCAACTTAAGGCAGATTATACAGATTAACTGACGGTTGATCATGAATCATGAATAGTTGTAGCGATACATTATGATTAAAGCCCTTAGTTACGCGTAGAAAGTTCGTTTGATTTTTGATTCTTTGTTACAATAATCGTTGTGTGAACACAAATTTAGTACTAGTATGGCACGATTCGCGCAAAATAAAGTTGAGTAAATGTCCAAATAATTGACTTAATTTTAAATATTACAAATACAAAATACATAAAGACAGCACAGAAACGATACGACAGCCCTGATCTATACGCATTTATTCGAATTCGAGGAAATATAATTCCCCAAATTCTATAAAATTAAACTTCCAGGGCTGTTAAATATTGTGGAATCATTATAATATCCCTTGCGTTGCTTTTGTTTTAGTCTGTTGTGTGATTGTGTGGCTTCTTTTCCTTCTTTTACTACTGCTTTTACTCTGTTTCTCCTCCTTCGTGTTTTTGCCTTCGGTGTCAGTCTTTTGAAATACCATTTTGAAATCGATTCTCTTAGATGCAGGCTGCAATTTTTGTTCGTTCGTTGTGGTTTGTGGGAATGTTCTGTGGTCGCCTCGTTTCAGGGAGTGAGTGAGTGGTTTTGGTGGGTGGTTTTTTCTCTTTTTGGCTGTGCACGTTTCAAGGATAAAGCTAACTAAACTTAGGCATACTATGCTACGATGAGTACAATATATTTTATATTCGAGTTCTGTTTGTTTTTCCTTTTCCAAGCTCATTCAAAGGACATCAGGTTGGCGGGCAGCGGCTTGGGCACCCGCATGGTGGCCAACTTGCAGATGGCATTCGACCAGAGGTGCGTCATCTGTGGACTATCCGTCCGGAAGCGATAGACGGTACCCAGGGTTCGGTGGCACAGCTCGAAGGTGTTCTTGTGCTTGGTATTGTCGCTGACATGGGCATACCATCCATCCAGGGGACACACCTTGCAGGGTTCCCTTTTAAAATCGCTTCGTTCGCTGCCCTTAAAGGACTTTGGCGGGAAGTACACCAACGAATTGGCCCAGATCTGCAGCCAGTAGCGCTGCCAAGAGCCACCGCCGGTTTTCTTCCCTCTTTCTGGACAGTTTTTCGACGAACACATCCCTGCATGGCGGCTGCTGCCTCTGGAGACATTAAATCGCAATCGCTGCCACTGAAATCGCACATAATGCCCTCGGCACTCTCCAGCGAAGTTAAATCCGATTGGGATATGGCGTCGCTGTGCTCTAGCAAGGATCATCCAGCAGGTGGTGGCGTGGCTGTTGCTGGCTGGGATCCAGCTCCAGTGCAGGTGTTGCGGATATCCATCGCCATGAGTATGCGGCGCAATTTTGCCAAAGATGCTGCAAAGAGAAATGGTTTAGTGAGGTACTCTTTGGTGGGTTAAGAGCCATTCATGCTGTTCAAACAAATGAGAAGAAATGAAATAGCAAAAGGCAAACAAGGATGAACTGCGTTTTGTATTTATAAATGGGTTTGGTTGATTTTTTATGGAGGGAAGAAGTGAGATCTTCGAGTGAATTAAGTATTAAAGTTTTGTACTGTTTTAAACGGGATTATTATACATTTCTAAACTATAAATATTAGTTTAACATTGTGATTTAATTGTTTTTTAAGCTAAACTATGAAATAATGAAAAATTCTTCTTAGATTTGCCGAAGGGACTTTTTACTCTAATTAATCAACAAACCTTGTTTAATTTGTTCATCTAACTGCAAGGAAGTGTGTGCTTTGTGTAAAAATTGGAAACCAAATGTAATTAGAAGGTGTAGAGGCGTGTGTCTTTTATTTTTTCATACGAAGCGTTTCCAACACGGGTCCGTGCAAAATAAATGAAATGAAAACTTTCAACTATCAACTTTAAATGGTGGTAAAAATGAGGAGAGTAATGCATCGGATCAGCATATCAGCATATAGTTTTTGGTTATTCGATTACAGGCTGGCATTACACACACATATCCTAGCTACGGGACTTCTGGTTCATGGACTCACCGACGACATCTGCAACCCTTGTTCGATATGGTGCCAATGCCCGGCGCTATCATCACGATGCAGCACTGGCACTTCTCGGCAAAGTTTCGCGGCAGGCTGCTGCTGCGAAATCTTCCAATTTAAAATACCAACAAACACATACACGCGGAAAACCAAAGCATAAGCCAAAAGCAAAACGAGAGTCGAGTGAGAAAGACAGAGAGATCGAAACGAGACGAGACGTGGATTATAAGGATTAATAAAGGACCCGGTGTACACATGTCCAATTATTTGCGCAGTGAGTTGAGGTGGTTAACAAAGGAAACCAAAGGGGAGGTAGCCCTAGACTGTGTCAGGTGTTCCTCTACTTACTTGGTGCCCAGACTCCGGCACTTCCGATGGCCGGGCACGAACTTGGTGCCGCTGGCCATGCGCATGGAGCCAATGGTTTTGGCCGGGGAGAGATTCAAACAGCCCAGGGCTGGGGTAACAGCTTCCACGTTGAAAGATTCCTTGGAACTGCAGGAGGATGAGCTGGGACCCGAGGGCGAAGCAGGCTCCAGATTTAAAGAGCGTCTAGCAGAAAAAGGGAAGAAATTAATAAATGTGTAGGTTATGGATGAGTAAGCTCTCTTACTTGTACTGATCTTCCTCGAATATGTTTTGCAATTCCTCGATGTATCTGATGGAGGTAAGATACTTTTGCGCGGCTTCATGCTTCTGCAGATGTTTGTAGTCCGACTGCTGATAGTTGGAGATCACGCGCAGAATGTTGTTCATCTTATTGCGACGCTGCTCCGGTTCCAATCCGCCCTTGTGCGGATGCGCCAGATCGATGTAGATCAGATCGGTGAGAAAGAGACCCAGATAGGGAATGCAGGGCAGGCGGAGACTTCAAGGTAGGATCGCAGATTCGCCCAGTTATCCTGGTCGCTGAATATATCGCTGAGTCGATCAAAGGACTGGCGATCCTTCTTCGACAGACAGGCCCAGGTTTTCTTTAAGCGATAAATGCTGGCGCTTTGCATGGCCGAAATAATGGCGAACAGCGAGTGCAGATTGTTTAGCTCATGCAGCTTTTTGGCCACCTGAAAATAGAGTTTATTAACTAATTATTCATTTGTGTTAGCTAATTTTCTCACCTTAATAAAGTGTGTCATTATCTCGGCTCTCTGCTTGGGCTGCTCGCCATTTAGGATCTCCTGCACTGTCCAAAAGCTCGTGTGGTTAAATCGTTTGGTAAATGCCACAATATTCGGTGTGTTGACATGCTTATCCTTCTTTGTCCAGGCACAGCTGCTTAGCTCGTCCGGCTGAATGAGTGCAAAGACTGGGAAGTCCAGGAGGGTGATCTGATTGGCCACACATCGGCGGGTACACGTAACGCGCTCAAGATCACCGCATCCAGTTGCTTGATGGATGAGGTATGAGCGGCAAACTCTGTGACTTGGACGGTGGTGCAGCCGAGGCTCTATAAAGTTAATAAAATTAGTAACGGATCGAATTTCTATTAAAAGGCTCACTTACGCTATGGTATAGTAGCAGCCAGGGGAATCTGGCGAGGAGGAGAAACTATTTAGGCAACCAATGGAGTTCTTGCGCCGCGTGCTCTTAATATTCAGAGTCTTGCTGGCCTGCTGCTGCGCCATGGGCGGCTCAATCTGATGCTCCTTCTGGGCCTTCTCCTGACGCAAGCAGGCCATGGTATGGGCATTGCCATTGGGTTGGGACTTCGTTGTTTGGCCACCAGTCGCGCTGGTTGCTTATGCATTGTGGGAGCAGGCGGAGGCGAACTTTGCTTGAACTGAGTCGTAGCATAGGCCTGACCCGTATATCCATTGTAATCCGTGGTGGGTTTTCTGCTTAGCTACAAGGATGACAACATTTGCTCATATAAATATATTTTATTAAGGTTGTTAAGTTGTAAACTCACCTCTGAGTAGCGCAGATTATCCATGGATAGGTCACGTGAGATTTCCGAGTATCGCATCATGGCAGCCAATCTCCGGCTGACTTTCGTCTTTCAAGTGGCTCTTCAAAACTGCAATGAACGAGGTGAAGGCTTGAATTAGCTCTTGATTACGTTCGCTGCGTGATAAAGCTATAGCTGTCGGTGTTCCGCGCACTGGGCAGACTTTTTGTTGACTGAAACCGAGTTTGTTTTCCTCAGTCAGTAGTTCTGCATTGTGGCTTTTGTGTTGCACGAACGGGGCAGCATTTAAAAAACATCAAAAAAACTGGAGAAAAAACTAGTGGCAAGCCAGAGCGAAGCTTCTGGCACGCCTCGATTTCCAATGGAGCGGGCCATGTGAGTCACGAGCGGAGCGAGGAGCGAGAAGCGACAAGACCTGGCCCATGCTCTTTTATGGTAGCGGGCATTCAGAGTGGTCAAATGGCTTTTCGGGGGTGCAACGCGCTGATAAAGAGACCCGCTTGCAGTGGTCAGCGGAAAGTTTGGGTTTGAAAACAAGTCACCCGGTCAGAAGAAACGAAAATTGGTTTTCGGCCCAGTTCAATGAACCCGTCAACTAGCAGCAGGCGTCATATAGAAAAGCCAAGTTAACCAAGCCTGGTTCCGCCTTTCAATATATGTTGAGGGAATTTTTCCTGTTTTAGAAATCGATATAAAGTTTTACAATACTTTTGAGTAAAATTCAATCTTTCAATAGGAAATTTAGTTTACAATCATATTCAGGTAGAAATAATACTTCGTTATTTTGAAACCTTATTCTCAGCATAGTAGTTAGTTCTTTATAGTATTTTGTATATTTGTAGTTAGTTCTTTAAAGTATAGTTACGTTACATTAACTTTCTCAGCTTTATTAGCAACCAATTATTTCGAAAATGTATTGAAAACAATTATTCGAGTATTCAGTATCAAGAAACAACTATCCACACACTTTCTATTACCCCATATATTTCTATAAAAGTTTCTCAAAGACCGACTGCTCTGACCCCGTCTAATTAATTTCAATTAAGTTATAATCATATGAAAGCAAAAGCTGATCAAATGCAATGACGTCCACACATTGTCATTGGGAATGGGGACTGGGGTTGTCTCTGTGGTTTCTTTCCTTCGATAATAAATATATATATTGCCTCGTGACGGGTGGAGCTAATGGAATTATCCGACTTTGAACTGGCACAGAGGCGATATAAACCAAAGACGGAAGAGGAAGGAAACAATGCGAATTCTATTGTTTATTATGTTTGTATTTAGCCAGAGATAAATTCCATTCTAATCATGCGAATTTCCCTCGTATCTCCCATTTATCTCATAACCCGAAATTCAATTACAAAAAGCTAGATATATGCTGGATATATAGATGAAATGAAAACAAATTGGGCGGAACAATAATAGCAGAAGCAACGCAACAAGATATAGACAAGACAAAAGGCAAACACAAATTATATTCCAAAATGCCAGACGACTCTGCCTCAAGTTTTTGCTTCATTTTCCTTTTGTTCCAAGCAAATGGACTTTATTGACTATTTGAACTATTCCATATATACATATATGTATATAAACACAGATCACTCTGATGTGCTGATCAGCTCTCGCCAAATTTATATATGTGTATATCCGCCGATCTGTGCCATTTCTCTTCTGGATTTCTTTACGGCTTTTGGGCAACACTTTTATGGCCATATCAAATGCAATTAAAGGCAAACAATTAACCCGCCGCCGACGCCCGACTGACTGCTACCCACTGGGTTGAATTTAATCTATGGCATATGTAAATAATTCGTGCCAGACAGCACTGCGCTCCTTTAATGCGATTTTGTAAACGAATTTGATGGGCGAATAATGAATTGGAGCCAGCGAATGGTTTGTTTTCGTGGTCAGGGATATATATTGTGCCGCCGCCCACTGACGCCCCCAGATAATTCCAGCCCCGATTCCAGTGTTTATTGTTTTTACATAAATTTCTTGAAGGAAAACAAACAGAACAGCTGCAGGGTTCGAGGAAATCGTACAGCCGCCTGCCTTCACGATTGTGCTTCTCGATTCTTTTGTTTATCAGCGCCATACAATTATTTAAATATAATACAATACAAGCACACATTTCTACATAATCTCGAGGAAACTGGGGGTTATTTTTTTGCTTCTCGTTTCTTTCTGTGTTGGCGTTTTCCATTGATAAATACTTTTCTCCGTCTCGTGTGGGCAGCTAGTGTATTCTTTTGCTCTGGAATTTGCAGTGATGACATATGATTGGCCATCAAGTGAGTGTTCAACCTTTTGCGCTGACTCCGACTGACCCTCGGTTCTTGGTTTAAGAGGGGTTAAAGATCTCTGGAACAGCCAGTAGCTTTCTTGCAATTCGAAATTCTGAAATCTGAAAATTGTGGCTAAATATTTACACAAGAAAAGCTGAGAGAAGGTCAGCCGTGAGTGGCTGTCGCCAGTGATCTTCGTATTTAATATATATAGTATAATATATTTTCCATCTTATGCCTTGTCTGGTTCAATAACCGCCTAGAGGAGATTACGATTAAAATGCAATATTTTACATTTAATTCGATCAGCCTTCGGTTTGACGTTCTCAATGTGGCAAGTGGGAAAACATTTAGCTAATCGTCCATTGAAAACGCGAGGGGCGTTATCAGGCAATCGTCTAACTAAGTATTTGCAAACACACACATGCGAGAATAAATACATATAATTAGCCTGGGTAACAACAAGAGAGAAACTACAAATGAAAAGCGCCAAGGAAGCCTGGCTTTTATAGATCGAACAATGGAATACGCTCTAAAGACAAGATTAAAAAATACATATATTCTTAAGAAAATAATATGCACTTGATATCTATAGAATTTAACAACCAAATACCTTTAATCATAGAAATTTTCCTGATTTCTTTCAATTATAATTAACCATAGATGTATTCAGACTTGTTCAGGCCAATTGTGTGCCAGCGAAATGATATAGAGATCCGTTTCCGGCAGTTCAAAATTTTTGTATAAACAAAACTAACTACAGAAGAAAGGTGATTCTGGGGCCCAAAATCAAACAGATGGCATTTAGATTCAGGGATTTGTTTTTCATAAAACAAACACCTAAATTATTAATATGAGTAAACACCTCTTAAACAAATTCAAATCATGCGCAGATAAGAATGTCTAGATAGTAATGCAGGCAAGCAAAGCCGTGCAGCAGGTTCATTGGTATTCAAAACACCCTGAGCTCTGGTAGAGTATATTTACTAAGAAACAAAGCAAAGGAAGGCCAAGCTGGGGTTTCTTCTCTCTTGTCCGATTCTCGGGCTTTGTTCTATGCGTTGTGTGATGTGATGTTTATGTGTTTTGCGATCCACACCACATAAGAAGTGCACAAATGTGTGTAAGCCGCCAAAGTGGGTCACTTGGTGAGCATCCAGCCCAGTCGGGGTACCGAGCCTAGAACTGAGCCACTTACCCAATTTCTCCTTGGTTCGAGTGGCTGCTGTACTTAAAACTCAGCAAATAGGAACAAAAGGCAATTGGAAACGAGGAAAAGAGCGAGAGGCGAACCCAAACCTTGAAATTCAGCATTTTAAGCATCTCTGTAACGCAGGCAAAAACATCTGTCGTCCATATCCTGTTGAGCGAGTCCGAGAAATCCATTACACGGAACGAAAAGGATCTTTCAGGAGAGTTCCTTGTAAAAAGATTAAATCTTTTCCAGGATTGTTTTTAAGATCAAATGATAAGGTTTAATATTACATATTATTCTTAACATGATCAGTGATCAGGGAAATAAGCAAACGAAATGTAATATTATAGAAAAACATTACAAAAGGTAATTTTTTAATGCTGTTCATGTTCTGGTGAATCGAAATATATAAGACTTAAGGCATAATAAATAATACCTCAAAAATTCAAATTCTTTAAAACGAGATGATTTTTTGGGGACATAAATCTTAAAAAACCAATAGCTAAGCTGCATTAATTTTTAAACAAAAATCTGATCTGTATTAGTTTTTAATAGCTTAATAAATCTGCTTACACAACAATAACATTAAAAAATATTTGAATTTTTGGCAATTTTTCACAATTTTAACGATGCCTTTTTAAAATTTGAAAACTAAAGTAAATTTTTTTTCGTCTAAACATCTCTCATTAATCGCTTTTGGTGTGATAAAGAATTATGTATCTATGTATATGGTTATAGGTCGAAAATGCTGACTAATTATGATACCCTGGGAACAAGGGTGTATAAAAGTGACTTCTTCATGTTACATAGCAAACCCATCACAAACCTCAACAACTATGCAAATATTTCTCGGAGTGCACAACAACAAAACAGCTGTCAGTCGAAATTTAAAGAGGCGTTGCCTTTGGTCGACCATTTTCTGTGTGTATCTCCTTATCACTTAGCTGCTTATCAACTGATCTAATGCCAAAAGGAAGTGCCAAGTGCTAAGTAGATTTTATTGATTGTCCGCCCGCAACGATGATGATTCACATTTCAAGAAATATACATATACTCACAGAAGGGGGAAGAAATCGATAGCAAAAAAAAAACGGGGAACCAAATTGAACACGAAAAGGGAAGCCGAACATAAACACAGATACGGATACACACCCACACACACACACAGCAGGAGGAACACGCAATTTGCTTTTGTAAAGGTTCCGTTCTAAGCTCATTGTATGCAAAGCGTGTACGGCCACCCGCCGCCCACTTTTGCTTTAGTTTCGTAATCATCACACCGAAATCCACAAGGCGGCGGTGCGAAAGAGAACGAGCACTGCACTTGATATACTTAATGTTTGACTCTGGGCGACAATTTGACAAAGATAGAAATAGCGCCCTGCATATTGTTGTTATTTATAGGCGGCGGCATCCCCCCACTTTCTCCCCTCACACAAAACAGAAGCCAATGGCGATCGGAACTTACTTCGAGCAGCAACTGAAGCATCTTAATTCGGTTAATTAGTGAGTGGGAAAGACACGCGCGACGCCACGCTCGGCTAATTGCTATTCATTACACTTATTGGCCTTCTGCTTCTGGTTCTGTCTCGTCTGTTTGTTTATTCCTTCGAGCGGAGAAACTGCGGAAAAATAGCAAAGAGCCAGCAAATATTTGCTCCGCGCGCGACGCCGACGCTACTATAGTGTGACCATTTTGTGGTAATGTTACCAAAGCGAAAATGTTAGAGGTGGTAAGATATCGATGTTCGCGAAATCGATGTTTTAAAAGAATAATTTTAAAATAACTATCAAAATTTGTGTTTATTTATATATTTTCTTACGTTTATTTATAAGTCAAAGTAATAAATTTAGTTCAGATCCTTGTTTTTACAACCGAGATGTTCAATCGATGGAAGAATATCGATAGCAACAAATCGCGGAACTATCGGGTATATCGCTTTTTAAATCAACGCGCTCATTTTAAATTTGAATTATATTCTATGCCTTATTGAAATTCATTAATTATCATATATAATGAAAATAGAAACTCCAGCCTCATTTTTTTTTATAAAAGTATATATTTAATTTCTTTTCTTACATCAGATATGTAGTATTATCATTTCATTCTTTTTTGGGTTATTTTTCGCACTTGCATTTACAACAACAGGGTCTTATGGCTAGGAGGAATTAAGGGGGAAACTCGATGGGCGGAGGACAGCGAAAGGATGAAAGAAGAATGGGACAAAGAGATGTCGGAGAAGGCGGTGAGGACAGATCATAGTTCTAGAAGGACTTACGCCTAGGTATATTGCTATAAGTTCGAAGGATCTAGCTAAATGTGTCTGGGAGTCGCGTTTCTAGTACCGATAGCCGCTGCCATCGTTGTCGCCATTCTGGCCACCTGGTCCGAATCCGTTCCTGCCGCCCTGACCACCTGGCTTGCCGCTCGAGTAGCCCTGGCCATCCTGGCTATCCTGACCATTGGGACGACCGCCGGGACGACCGCTAGAGTAGCCGTCGCGTCCCAGATCCTGGCCGCCAGGACGTCCATGGAGTAACCCTGATCGCCGCCATCCTGACCGCCACCAATGACACGTCCACCGATGATTACGCGACCATCTGAGCCACCATTTCCATTGCCATTACCTCCATTACCACCTGGTCTGCCGTTGGAGTAGCCCCCGGGGCCAAAGTCCTGGCCACCAGGACGTCCGCCAGAGTAACCATCACGACCCAAGTCCTGACCGCCTGGGCGTCCATTGGAGTAGCCTCCAGCTCCGAATCTTGGCCACCAGGGCGACCACCGGAATAGCCTCCAGCACCTAAGTCCTGGCCACCGGGCCGGCCGCCGGAATAGCCTCCTTGGCCCAAGTCCTGACCACCGGGACGACCACCAGAGTAACCTCCTGGGCCCAAATCTTGACCACCAGGACGGCCATTAGAGTAACCTCCTGCTCCCAAGTCCTGACCGCCTGGACGTCCGCCGGAGTAACCACCATTGCCATTGCCTCCGTTACCTCCTGGTCTGCCATTAGAGTAACCATCAGGACCCAGGTTCTGGCCACCAGGACCTGAGGCACCGCTGCCAGTGCCATCGTTGGCGTCACCCTCATAACGGATTGCGGCCTGTATCCCTGCTGGTCGGCTTCGTACTCCACGATCTGAGGAAGAGACAGACACGGAACACGGTGTTAGCAGTGACAAGAGGAGAAGATGGAGGAGCAGTGGTGTCCACTCCAGATGCTGGTGCTGCTACTGCTGCCGCCGCCGCCGACGCCGCTTACTTGCTTCCTTCCGTCGGGCAACAGGACATTGTACTGGCCGGTGGTGAAGTCACCGTCGCGCATCTCTGAATGCCCGAACGAGAGTCCGCTGGGCGCGTCCTCAACCTGGTAATTAAATTCGTACTTGGCGGGCTCCTAATGGAGGGCGAGGAGCATTGGATCATGGAGAATGGAGAGCGGATTGGGGCGTGTGGAGAAAGAGAGAGAAACACAGAGTGATAGAGTGGCTAGGATCAAGTGTTCAGGTTTTTAGTTTTCAGATTTCGGGGGATGCAAGCTTTGAACGCAGGAGGCGGTGCAGGTGAGCGAGACGAATCTACCAAAAAGATTGCAAGGGCAAGTGTGCAGCGTGGGCGGTGGAGCAGTGTTCCCCTTTGCAGAGCGGTGTTCCACCAGTGATCCCAAATCCCAGATCCCAAATCCCATTTCTCAAATCAATCCCATTATAAAACTAGCAGTTACTCACATCATTCTCGTAATCGGAGCCGCCGCCGCCGCCGCCGCTGCCTGATTGTCCTGGGCCACTGCCTCCCGCACCGCCTGCTCCAGCTCCTGAGGCCGGAGGTCCATAGGAGTCGGAGGGACGACCGCCGGGTCCAGATCCTGGAGCTCCATAGCTGCTCGACGGACGACCACCGTTGCCATTCTGGCCCGGAGCACCGTACGTGTCCGAAGGACGTCCACCAAATCCACCCTGACCACCTTGACCCTGGCCAGGAGCGCCATAGCTGCTCGAGGGACGTCCGCCATTACGCCACTTCCGCCACCAGGGGCGCCATAAGTATCCGAAGGACGTCCGCCATTACCGCCACTTCCGCCACCAGGGGCACCGTAACTGCTCGAAGGACGACCGCCATTGCCGTTTCCATTGTTGTAGCCGCCTTGACCTTGTCCAGGAGCACCATAACTGCTTGAAGGACGACCGCCGTTGCCACTTCCACCTCCAGGAGCACCATAAGTGTCCGAAGGACGTCCGCCATTACCGCCACTTCCACCTCCAGGAGCGCCATAAGTGTCCGAAGGACGACCGCCATTACCGCCACTTCCGCCACCAGGTGCGCCATAAATGCTCGAAGGACGACCAGCATTGCCGTTGCTACCAGGAGCTCCATAGGTGTCCGACGGTTTGCCGCCAAAGCCACCTTGTCCTTGGCCTTGGCCTTGACCCAAGCCCGGAGGACCATAGCTGTCCGAGGGACGTCCTCCGTTTCCATTTCCACCGCCCGGTGCTCCATAGGAATCGGAAGGCCTGCCGCCTGGACCGCCCTGGCCACCCGGACCACTCTGACCCGGGGCTCCGTAGCTATCCGACGGCGGCAGATACGAGTTTACAGGCGGCTCCGGTCGCCCAAGGACCACAGCTGCCAGCAGCAGCGTCACACCGAGTAGCTTGAACATATTCCACAGGAGGAGCTGGGCAACGGACCACCACTGATCTCGAATCTCGAATCTCTGGTATCACTGGGATGAGGCTAGCGCTTGGGAGCAGCGCCGAATTCTGACTGATCTGTGACTGCTGCCACAAGGCGTATTTATATGTGGCAAACCGAAAACTGAAAGTCTAGGATGCACACACACTGCGCACACACGAACTCGATTATGAGTTGGAGGTGGCTCTGACTGGGGCTGTTGCTGTTGCTTTTGCTGTGGAGCGTGTGGCAACCGGCACAGCTGCCGCCGCCGCTGCCACATACGATCGTCTTCGGAGATGCAGTGGCTGATTCTATGGAGCCGCCGCCGCCGCCGCCTGCCCAAAACAAAAATCTCAATCACCGCGCTCCGAGATCGCACGTGAAGGGTCCAAGTCTTGGCTCTCATCTCGAGCTGATTTGCCTTCTTCTGGCGCACATCTTCTCGAGGCGAGGTGGTGACTGTGTTGGCATCCAACTCTGGATGTGTAGTTACGTTGGCCCAAAGTAGTCTACTCGGTCGCCTAGCCGGGTGAATGTGTCGGCGGCGTCTGCTCACTCTTTGGCGAGTGGTGCAGTTGCTCGAGGTTTAGTTGCTCGTGGTTCAGTTGCTCAGTGGATCAGCAGCAGTGTGACAAGCGCCAAAGCTTGCATTTGTTTGCCTTGTCTTGTCGGAGCGAGTAAAAAATAATAAAAAGCATAGCGACATATTGAAGAAGATCGTGCCAGCGGCGACCCCAATTGGAGTAGGATGCGCAGAGATGCCTCTGAGATTCGCTGATGGGTGTAGAAGGGTCGAGTCGATTGCTGTGGGTGATGGTTGATTCGCTGGGAGATTGTGACGATGGCAATGGAGATCATGGAGATGAAGGGTACGCATAGGATCTGTACCCTGTACATTCGGGGAGTTTAGTCTTAGAGAGTTGTTTGGAAAATTGAGGCAATGACAGTTGGAGAGCACTTAGTCAAGGGGATTCATTTATTTTTTTGCAGATGGTTTATTTCCTAAAATTTATCATGTGTGAAAATGATTTTTAATTAACATTTTTAAGAACTAGACTTGTAATTTACTTGGCTGCCTGCATTCCATAACCTTTCATCATATAGTCTACAGATTCCAGACTTCTGGGTCTAGAAGGGTACCCATCACCTTGAATGTTCTATGGCTATGCCCATTGTACTTCCACATCCATTCATTGATTCAGTTATTTTTCACCCATCCAAACGAAATCGAAAACCCAAGCCCACACAAAGAGATTCCCGAACCTTATGGGAAATTAATTGCGCTGAGTTTTCGCAGCACGCCCACCTTGTTAGCTTTGGGTTGCCGGTAGCGCCATTCACAGATCACAGATCACAGATCGCAGATCACAGATCACAGCCTTCGCCGGCAAATGGGAACGTGCAGAATTAATTGCTCTGCTACGTGCTTGGTCATGGGAGTTGGAAGTTGGAAGCAGCTCCACATCCTGCTTAGAAATCAGACGTGCGGGTCAAAGTTCCAAGATGAACATCTTCTTTGAACCAAGTCACCAGTTTAGCTCCGGGTCATACCAAGTAGCCCATCTCAGTGCTATATCTTCATTATAGTTTCTGTAAACATTTTATTGTAAAAAATCTCACATATAGAGACGTCTGTAGCGTCTCCAGACCTCCTGGAAGAGCCATGTGTGGATTAGGTAAATGGCCAAACACACCAAGCAAATGTCTTGGAAAACAAAGACCAGCAGGAAAGCCAAATAAATGCATAGAAACAAAGTCACAGTGCACAGTAAAAGTTGAGCCAAGCATAGCCATTTGTGCTCAAAGAAGGCTGAAATACAAATAAATATTATTAAAAATTGAATAATTAATTCATCAAGACCTTTACTTACAGCTCAAAAAGTAAGCCACATAGAATACACATCCTATGGCGCCATTAGGTGGGCTTCCCTTGCTGCTAAGACCAAAGCCATTGCCATAGCTGAAATATGGATAATATCATTTTAATTTTATTATCATACCAATTATTTAATCAAACTAACACTTACATGGATTTAAAGACCAGTGAGCAGCTTATGTTGTCGTGCACATCGCAGATGGGCTTGTAATCCGCATCCGCATCCAGTCTGAACTTTACATAGAGTGAATACCAGGAGATGACCAATCCCATGATGCAAATCCATCGCAGGCGAGAGGACTCGCTGCCCGCCGGGTCCATAGCTGTTGGCAAAGTGAGCTCATGGCTGGAGGATTCCGTTTCACAGCTGCCAGGACTCTCAGCCCAAGGAATGGCGGACAGGACATTGCCATCGATTTGACAATTTTTCCAGCAGCTGCGCAGAAAGCAAAAGCTAGGGATGTTTTCGGTATACTTTCCTCTGGTTATCTTGAGAATTATGACTTTATAAAATTATTATATAAATTCTTTTGAGAAAATAAAGAAAGATTTTTGATTAGCAGAATTAATAATACACAAAGTTATAATATAATTTGAATAATTTTTATAATATATTTAAAAGATACTTTTATATCTCGTAAGGGTGTTCTAACTTCGAGTTTCCTTAAAGTTTTCCTGCTTGTTTTTCTAGTTGGGGTTCGCATAAATTTCCGTTCTTATTTAATTTGAGGCGACACAAGGACCGGAGCAACAGGTAATAACAGGTAAAGCTGCGTAGTTTAGATGAGGTGTCCAAGGCTTTACATTAAAGCGGGACTAACACCTTAAACTAGGGAAGGTAAATGGGGTATTTTTACTTTTTGTTGGGTTATCCCCTTACCCTGGGAACTATCACCTCTGTCCATAGTGACACTTTGCACATGGATCCGTGGCACCGAACACCGCATTAGGCCACGCTCTGTTGCATGCATATAAAATTAGTGACTGAGGCGACATCATCTCCAAGTCCCAAGAGGCGACCAAGAGACGACATCTTAACCAGGCCAAAATCAGACTACAAGCTCATGATGCCGCCACTCTTGGCATGACACAATGATGCCTCTCAGTCCCCCACCCACTCTTCCAGCTGTGCAGCATGTCCCTTTTTAATTTATAGCCTCACGAATTTGAATTCATCTGTGTTTGGGTATTTAATAAGAAAATAAATAAAAAACACAACAAGAAGCTATGCCCATCCAAAGTGATATATAAATCCGCGTTAGCCATGAGGTAACCGAATGGAAACAATTTACAAAATTGCAGTAGCTCTGCCCCCAGGAGCGAAGTGAAGTGATGCATTTACGCAACCTTGGAACTACCTCATTCAGTCATATGAAAATGGAAAGATACAAAATAAGAGAAAAATAATACAAAATAAAACAGTCACCGCAGAGCCAGCGACTTGGCACAGTTTTCCATTTGACATGGAAAACCCTTTCAAGCGGCTGTCAACTCGATTCTGGCTCAAAGCCCAGCCTCACCTGGGGCGATCGCGTAATAATTTGCCACTGTATATTGGGCCAGGTAGTAGTTTATTGAACTTTACACTTCAAAAGGTACACTGAACAAATACATAAATATATATATGATATATATATATATTTGTGTGATCTACGGGATTACATTTGAACACTTAAAAATTTAACATAAAATATAATAGAACGACTTAAAAATCAGTTTAGAGAGTAACCTTTAGGGCTGATTTAGGAATATGTATATATTAGTTTCAAAGGTCGATACATAAATGGATAACTATAAAAAATATTTAAAGTATATTAACGGTGTAAAAGGTATGAAAAGTAGCATTTAAAAAAGAAATAAATATTAGTTAGATAAACTAAGATACACTTTTAATATAATTAAATATATGTATACCACTTAGTTTTTCCCACTGCAACCTTAATAGCAGCTGCGATCTGCTTATGATAGCAGATGCTCGGATGCGTTTAGAAGGGCTAATGCGAATGCTAGAGTTTACATATAGGTATAGGTATTATCTATTGGCATATAGCTTAAACCCGATGTGGATGCCGATGATGCTGCAGCTGCAGCATCTCTTCAAGCACGCGCTGTTGCTGTTGTTTGTCTCCAAAAACAAATTTTTGCTGTGGATCCGTGATCGAAATCAAGTGAAGTGCTCAAACAAAAGCGCCTCGGGCCTCAAGTGCAGCTGACTGCGAAATGAAAATGAAAATGAAAATGATGGAGCTCCACAGCTACCTCCGAGCTTCGACGATTATGATTATGAAGGTGAACGCTCCGTGGAGCTTGCAGCATGCCTTTTGTTGTTGTCGCCCCGTTGCACGTGCAAGTGGAAGGAAGTTAAGGTTACTGCGTTTCCAGCGATGTGGCAATAGCACACATTTGTATGCCTCATTTGGCTTAATAAATTCGCAATTAATTAGAATCAAAATGCAGCAGTTGTCAGCGTAATATAATGCTAATGATTGCGTTTATGGCGAATAATTTAGAACTTGCCAAAAAGGGTTAGATTCACATTGTAAGCATTTTTTGAACAAAAATTAAACCCTAAAGCCTGGTCTAAACCTTGCTCCTAATAATGATTGCTTGAAGAATTATGATAGAGCCTGTTAGTAAACATATTAAACTACCAGATAGAGAGTATTTTTTATAGCTTTAAGTTCTTAAGAAGTAACCTCTTAAGTACTTCCCTTAAACAGATAACCAAACAAATGATAAGACAGAAAGAAATTTATATAAAAAGGCTGCCTGTCTCAAAGGTGCTTAGTATCAGTCCGAAATCAGAATGAATGCAGTTTGCTTCATACTAGCCTTGTTTTCGCTGGGTTTGATTTATCCAGCCAATGGCGAAATTGAAAATATTTCCGAGTACAGCGGTAATATTGATAATCTAACTTGCAAGAAGCACTACTCTTCCTGCCAGGAGATATATCCCGAGAAGAGCGGTGTCCAGAAGATCAAACTGGGCAAAGATGTCTTCGATGTCTATTGCGATTCGACAATTGCCGGCAGGGTTGGACAGTCATCCAGCGAAGAGTCAATGACGAAGTGAACTTTTATCGCAAGTTTTTATCCTATGAGAAGGGTTTTGGTAACCTTAACGGAAGCTTCTGGATCGGACTGGATAAGCTGAACAGAATAACATCGCTGGAGCCACAGGAGTTGTATATCCAGCTGGAGGACTTTACTGGAGAGACCCGATTTGCTCGATACAGTCTGTTTAAGGTGGGAGACGTTTACAGTGACTACACTCTCAGCTCGCTGGGAGCTTACAGTGGAACCGCCGGAGATGGTATGACCTACCATCTCAACAATCGGTTTAGCACATTTGACAGGGATAACACCAAGAGGTGTGCTGCACTGAGACATGGAGCTTGGTGGTACGACAACTGCCTACAGAGGTGAAGTCCTAGTATATTTTAAATGGTTATTTACTAACTATTAGTTTTTACAGTAATTTGAATGGTGTGTACTTGGGTGGTGCTTATCAAGATGAATATCTGTCCGCCAATGGAATAGTATGGAAGCATTGGAGGGGCTTTTATTATAGCTATAAAACTGTACATATGATGGTACGACCAAGAGCAGCCAATGTCCTATACTAAAATACTGGCGTATTGCACAAAAATTCTTTCAATATTTGCTTTTATTTAAAATGAAATAAATCTATATTACAAATAAATGAAAATGAGCGCAAGGACTTTGTTTATACTTCATTTTAGTTCTGTCTTTCTATTCCTGGTTTTCAGATCTAAAATTCCTCTTTTCGTACATTTATCAAAATTATGCTAGTTATTTGGCAATCAAGTTTAATCTTTGTATATAGAAATCATCTTATAGCGTAATTTCTTATCATATTAATAATCTAACTAAATATTGAACATACATTTCTAAATCAATAAAAGATTTCGTTTTGGCGATATATGAGAGCTTTAGGTCATTTGGGCTTAGAGTGCACTCTAGACTGTAATTTTGATGATATTTATGGTCTCAGTATTAGTATAATGTGGAAAGCAGGCTATTGAATTTATAAATAAATATATAAATATATATATGGGCCTTAAGGAGTCTTTGAAATTGCACTATAAGTAAATATTTAAACAGCACTCAGAACTCAATGTCTACAATAAAAATTTCCAGTCCCCTTAAAAAATATAATCGGGCAATAATATTTTTTAAACGCATTGTCATTATACCCTTACAGTTTATTACAATTTCAGTTATATAAAGTATATATATTCTTGATCATCATTAACAGCCGAGTCGATCTAGCCATGTTCGTCTGTTTGTCTGTCCGTTTCTAAGCAAACTAGTCTCTCAGTTTTGAAGCTATCTAAATGAAACTTTTCAGTTAGCCTTCTATATACTCTTACTCGTATATATGTATGTCGGAACGGGCCGGATCGGACGACTATATCATATAGCTGCCATAGGAATGATCGGATAATTTTTACAAAAAAATTATAACAATTTCAGTTTTCAACAGAATTTGATCAAATTTGAGATATAGTCATTTTTCTATACCTCCAATTTTGTACAAAATTTTATGAAAATCGGACAACTATATCATATAGCTCCCATAGGAACGATCAAGAAATTAAGACAATTAAAAATTATAACATTTTCAGTTTTCAACAGATTTTCATCAAATTTGAGGTATAGCCATTTTATATCAGTCTTAAATTTTGTGTAAAATTTTATGAAAATCGGACGACTATATCATATATGTAGGTGCCATACAAACGATCGTTAGATGTGGAGAAAAATGCACATCTGTGACTGTAAAACTGCAAATATAAAATGTAAAGGTGAATGAAATGAAAGCAGGTATTACTTTATTGTTTTTTAACACAAATAAATATAATTTATATGGTTGGGATTCCAAGTCATAGAAGTTCTATATGCAAGGGTATATAAACTTCGGCGTGTCGAAGTTAGCTTCCTTTCTTGTTGTATTATCATTTTCTATATAATTTTCTGTATTATTAGATTGTACAATTGATTAAGGGCTGTCTTAGATAAGTTCTACAAAAATTGATATAAAAAGGCTGCATGCCACGAAGGTTCTCAGTATCAGTGTGAAAACAAAATGAATAGAGTTTGCTTCGTACTAGGTCTACTTTGGCTGGGCCAAATTTATTTAGCCTGTGGAGAAATTGGAAATTTTACTGATATAACTGAGTATAGTTCGAAGAATGAGGAGTTCCAGTCCTGTGAGCAGTATTACTCATCCTGCACAGAGATTAATCCCAGTGTAAGCGGAGTTTACAAGATCAAAGTGGGTAACGATGTCTTCGATGTCTATTGCGATTCGACCATTGCCGGCAAGGGTTGGACAGTCATCCAGCGAAGAGTCAGTGACGAAGTGAACTTTTATCGCAAGTTTTCATCCTATGAGGAGGGTTTCGGTGACCTGAACGGGAGCTTCTGGCTGGGCCTGGATAAATTAAATAAAATAACGTCGTCGGAGTCCCACGAGCTGTATGTTCATCTGGAGGATTTTAACGGAGAAACGGCATTCGCTCGTTACAGCCTCTTTAAAGTGGGAGATGTCTATAGTCAGTACACCCTAAAGTCACTGGGAACGTACCAAGGAACCGCCGGAGATGGCCTGACTTACCATCTCAACCAGCCTTTCAGCACATTTGACAGAGATAACACCGGATGTGCGAAGTCTCGATTTGGAGCTTGGTGGTATAAAAGTTCCAATACAGGTAATAACTCGACATATTTTTAAATCCATATTTTTATCTTCGACATCTTTCAGTAATTTAAATGCCCTTTATTTGAGTGGTGCTTTTGACAGTAAACTGGAACACTGTGGCGTAGTTTGGTATAACTGGAAAGGCGACCGATATAGCCTAAAAACTGTTAACATGATGGTGCGGCCACGACTATAACACTGAAATAGACGACGATTAAAGCTAAAAGTTCTATGGTTTCTTATCCCCCTATGTTGAATAAAAATATAAGATACCGTTCTCTGCACATATTTTCTTGTTTTGAATAAAATTGAATAATAAACATCGGAGTTATACAAAAATACATTAAGAATTTCATGAAGGCAATCTGCTGTTTTTCACACAGACATATTTACTTTGTTTTAATATTATATTATATTTTAAATCTAAAACTTCACAGCTACTACTACTACCGGTCATCAATTCAGACAGTTATTTTCAAAAAAAGTTATTGAAATTGGCGCCAACAGAATTAAGAAGTATAGATTACCTTAGGATCGATTAATCTGAACCAGGTATCGCAAAAAAAATTAAATATTCTAAAAGATCGATTTTATTGACTTAATATAAAGATAAACATATGTATTTATATATGTAATTTAAGAGGTTTCGCTACAAATAGCTAAGAATCGGTCAGCTGTCAGTTTCACATCACTAACTAAATCGATACATTCCTATGGTTACTTGCACATCTCTAGCTAGAACTAAATTGATAAAGCAACAAATAAAAACGACGAGAACGTAAGCTTTGTGTTATTTGATTAAAAAACTAAGGCCTACAACATAACTTAATTTGCAGCTAAATAATTCGCCGATATGTTTGTGGCACGTAGAATTTCCCAGACAGCGAGGTAAGTGCACATTAAGCCGTCGAAGAAAAAGAATCGATGCGACGCCGGCCGATTACATAAATAGCAATAACAATTGTATTTATAATGGCGGCCCTGATCTTGAGGATATATCTGTGTAATTCAGACGAGTTTCTTGACCCCTTGCAGCATGGCGGTGCGCGGCAAGCACTCGCTGCCCAAGTTACCGTACGATTACGCCGCCCTGGAGCCCATTATTTGCCGGGAGATCATGGAGTTGCACCACCAGAAGCATCACCAGACCTACGTCAACAATTTAAATGCCGCTGAGGAGCAGCTGGAGGAGGCCAAGAGCAAGAGCGACACCACCAAGCTGATCCAGCTGGCCCCGGCCCTCAGGTTTAATGGCGGTGGCCACATCAACCACACCATCTTCTGGCAGAATCTCTCGCCCAACAAGAGCACACCCAGCGACGAGCTGAAGAAGGCCATCGAGTCGCAGTGGAAGAGCTTTGATGAGTTCAAGAAGGAGCTCAGCACCCTGACCGTGGCGGTCCAGGGCTCCGGCTGGGGCTGGCTGGGCTACAACAAGAAGTCCGGCAAACTGCAACTGGCGGCCCTTCCCAACCAGGATCCCCTGGAAGCCTCCACTGGCCTGATTCCCCTCTTCGGCATCGATGTATGGGAGCACGCCTACTACTTGCAATACAAAAATGTGCGTCCCTCGTACGTTGAGGCCATCTGGGACATCGCCAACTGGGACGACATCTCGTGCCGCTTCCAGGAGGCCAAGAAACTCAGCTGCTAAGTCCGGGCGGCTTATGTATCTATGTCTTAATTATAATCATCGGCGGATCTTAGATCCCAAATTGTAGTCCGAGTTGCTGCTAATAAATTGGTACCAGCTTGCAACTAAGCCTTGGAATGCAAAAGAGAGAGCATATCACTTTTGAGTAGCATATTAACAATTATTATTAATTATTTTAACTTAAATTTTTTTAAGTGTATAAAAATCGCCGCCCGCATAACAGTTTTGACGTTTTCCAACACCATCAGCCGTGCTGAAGTCCCATCTCTAGCTAATCAGCTGTTCGCAAACAAAAACAAAAGCCAGCCACAGACTTGGGGGTGGAAAATTGACATTTCCACCGAGTTTTCCCAAGCTTGCGTTCGCGCAGCTGCGAACAATTTTCCAGCACGCGTATCCGAATGGTGGGACAAATGGCCATCCGCTGGCAGAGTCGTTTGTTGCCTGTTCGCGTAATGGCCACCGTCGAAAATTCGGACATTTGAAACGCCCAAAAGTCGGAACAAAGGAAAACCATCATTATTTTCAGTCCGCGGTCGAAATTATTATAAAAATTAATTTAAAACAAACAACTTAAGTGCAATAATAAAAGAAAACAACACTGTGATTAAGTGAGTGCAAGGAAAACTAGGAAAAAATCGAACAGGATTAACACTGCAGACCAAGGCGGTGGTCTTTCAAAGTGAGTAATCTGAGTGCTATGCACAATTAAATATTTATCATTAAAAATACTTTGTGACACTTGATGAAAGTGTTTTCTAAGGCACTGCGAAAAACTCCACTTGGCTGTACTCGGGAAATTGTGTGAAAAATCGATAATCCACAGCGCGTTGGCTCACGAACTGCGCACGCATCGTCCCTGGGAAGTCTTCCGACTTTTATCCTGTTGCGGATCCTTTAGCTTCCTTAAGCAGCTGTTTGCTTGCTAAAAATAAAACCCCTTAATCGCTGCTTTGCGAATTTCCCTCTCGAGCATATGGTGCAACCTGTCACTCCAAAAAGGTTTCGCGAACGGGATGAATTTATGTTTTCCGACCCACGCACTTTGGTTATCGCTACGCCAATTGACGTCAGGAGTGGAAGTCGAGTTACCAGGGAAGCTTCGAGCTTCGGGGGCGTTGTTGGTAACCCAATCAATTGTTTGCTGGCCAACCTCTGACCTTTGGGAGGGTGAGGAGAGTCTGGTGACACAGCCTTCACCTCGATGCGACGCACAAGTCATTGCATCCCCAGTCGAATGTCAAACCGGAGTGTGGTTTGTAAACACCCCAATCCTATATCCGTTAGATGTCTGTCTGTCTGTCTATCCGCTTGTCTGCCGTGCGTGGGCGTCCTGATGGCGTCCCTTTGGCATTCCCTTTACTGCGCATCGTCGCTGGATTGCATGCATGGCGGAAAAATGGTAGTCCTCAGACGGGACTACAAATCAATATGTTAATTTCTAATTGAGTTCTTGAAAATAAGATTTACAAGAATATAATATCTAATATATATAGAATATTCGATATCTTGTCAGATCTTATATTTTCCTGTACAGTATTTACTGTACGTATATCAAGGAAAGCTCATTTTTTTAGGACCACTATATATCTACATTTTGAAAAATACGAATGTATATATTTATTTTTATCAGTGTAGAAAAGAGTGCGTCATGGGAAATGGACTTGTGCGGCATGATTATAGTGACCAGCTTGATTGAAAGATCAAGTGTGCACAGGATTTGAAAGGGGATTCTCGGCAGCTTGCAAGATTATTGTTTGCTTTTCTAATAATAAAGAAAATCCTAGACAAGACTACTTTACCCTCGGGAAACGAAGGTTATATTTGGACCAGCTTAGGGTCCAATCCAAGCTGCTTCTTTTATAAACAATAACTGATCCAGCAAAGAACGCCTTTCAAAGTCGCGGCTTAAGCACCGCACCATAAAGTGGCTTCCAGAGACTCGTGAATAAATAAAGGAAAATACTTACTATAGAAAAAAAGAGTAAACCACTCTTGCCAAGGCGGGGGGCGCCAAGCAATAAACATAAATTTCCGCTGGGCAGCATTAAAAAGGAAAGCCCCACCGCACGCAGAGCTGGGGAAAATTCACCTGGTAGCGAAATGGCTTCCTGTCCTTACAATTTTCCCTGTTTATTATTAATTTTGTTTAGGGATGGGCTGAGAAGAAAGGACCTGCGGTCCTGCGGTTGACCAAAATGATTTATAGTACCCATGGGGTGCACTTTTAAGTGTTCCCCTCTCGAATTGCCTTTCAAAATGCAATGTGCCCCCTATTTTCGGGGCGTGGCTGCCGCCCATTGCGGTCTACTATATCACGTGTGGTCGGGTCTGGTCGGTCGGTCAGCACCCCGGAAAAAAAGCGCTTTCCAAATGGAAATCACTTGCTAATTAACGTGTCCTGCCAGCCGCGTGTGTAACAAATTATACCCTATACATGTGTATATGGAGCGACAACTAGGCACCGAAAGTTACAACATTCCATGCCCCGCCCGACATTAGGGCTACTTTCCTATGGCGCAGAAAGTATGATACACTGTGAAAAATACTATAAACAATAGGGTTTCTACTAAATTAACTATATTTATTTTGATTTTCTATTATTATTAATTTCTATATTATTGGATATCCATGAATCTGAATAAACTAGAAGGTAAACTCATCTAATATTCTAAAACGATATTTAAAGTTTCCCTTATATTTAATAATTTTTTAATTAATAATATCATTTTCTAGTATGATAGGTTGCTATAAAACCTGATAAAGAAGTCAAAATAGTTTTTGCTTCATAATATTTTGATTTTTCTTTAATGTGTAGCAAAAACACGGAGTAAACAAACCTTGAAATTATGAGAAAACCGAAAAAAAACATATATATATTCGGTAGTGGGTGGAAAACAGGAGGTCCTGTTGTGGAAGGAGCCAATGTTTGGCTCTTGAAAGATGATTCACCATTGGCTCGCTCTTCCTTCCTTCCTTCCTTACTTCCATAGTCCTTTCTTCCTGTTCCCTTTCCCTTTGGCTCAGCGGCTTTCCCATTTCGTAGGGACACGACTGTGGCCACACACACACACACTCAGTCCCAGAAAAGCTTGGCACGAACATTCAGCCAGGATGAGTCATCCGCCGTTTTCCTGTGCGACTGTGTTTGTGCTTTTTTGCGTGGGGCAGGCCTGCTGGTTGCTTTTCCCCCTTGTAGAAAGATTTTCCCCACTTTCCATCGCTTTTATTGCAATGACTTAAATAACCAAATCGCATTTGTCGTTTATGTTCTACACAGACACACTCAATTTTTCAGTGTCCTGGGGCTCTTTAGAGAACGAGAAATGGAAAAGATGTAGGGTCTGGTTTTATACACGTGCCTGACACTCGAAGAGCTCTTATTTTCCCCCTTCTCAAGCTCTTAACTGTGGCAGACTTGAAAATTGAATTTAAATTTAATTTCAGGCCCAGCCAGAAGCAAAAAAAGAAAATATAATTTTAAATAAAATCTAAGATGACTCATACGCCCTGTTGTCTGCTCGAGTGTTATATTTTAATTGCTTGATCCTGGCCAAGGAGGAGTCAGCGAACCCTATTTTAAACATGATGCAGCGGAAAATTGAAATGTTTTGGCTCTTGAACTGTCATTGACATTCACCGGCGGAAAGTCCTTAAAGCTGCGGGGGAGGGAAAGAAAATGAATTGCGCAGCCAACAATGAACGTCAACGACCCTCCCGCTTTTCCCCCCTACTCGCCTTCCATTTCCTCCCGATTTTCCTCCTGCTTCTCCTATTTGCTTTAGTCACACACACGCGCTCGATATTATTTGGGTTGGTTTTTGGCGCGTGTGTGTGGGCTTTTCCCCATCTCTCCTTTCATTACGCACTTTCAAAGAAAATTCTGCGCAGTAATGAAAATTTTTGAAGTTTAATACCTTGATAATATTTGAGAAAAATATTACGATGCGAATGAATATTGTTTTAGGATTGTAAATCGATAGGATACTTTCGAAATATAGTATTTTACCGTGAAATATCATCGAAAATTGTACATTTTTATAACTTTAAATTTCTTTACTTTTATTTTCAACAATGATAGTTTAAACAATGTATAGGCTCTTCTCTGACGCCGAAATATAAGTAAACTTATATTACAACTTTAAAATGTCGATTAATATAACCTCAAATGTTGACGATATATCACATATATTACATAGATTTTCACATTTCATAAACACCATACAAATTTTGTAAATTATTTGTTAAATTAAGAATTTAAAAAGCATAGTTTTCACTCTAGATTTAAGATATAAGGTCCAATTGTATGCTACAGATTACCAAAGGCTGCCTTAAGTCGTCGGTCATAGCCGAATGAATGAATGACACCAGCATGAATAAGTTTGGTATATATAATATATATAACGTATAGGGTTATCGAGAATATTCCCATCGAGCGTCGGGCAAAGAATCCCAGGGTCGTGGTCCAGAGCAAAGTGCACAATAGACCGAATAAAAGAAAGTAGAAGGCATTATGGCCATAATCTCCGAATTCGGTTGAGCTCTCATCAGGTTCGTTTAACATTTTTCGAACAAACAATACAATGCTGGGGGACATGACGAGGGCTGCGACATAGGATTTCATTAGATTATTATATTATATTTATTATATTATTTTATATTTATATGCAGAAAAGTGCTCACTGAATATGGGACCACCTATGGCCGAGGCATAGGCCATTTTTGGGTAGCCATACATGGCCATTGCCGTGTTTGCGACCACAGTACCCAGATTATTTGTCCAGGATTTCACAGAGGCGCTCATGAACTCCTCGTCCAATTCCAAGTTACGGGAAACGACTGCCATAACCCTATCGATTTCCGTTGCGCACACATAGATCAGTATCATGCAGCCGGTCAAATTCATAATTGCAAATGCCTTAAATCGTAGATATTTCTTTTTTAACAGAGATTTAAATGGTCATTTTCAAAACTCACCCAGTGGTAACGGGGCGGTCTATCGGTTCGTGAAGTGTAATAGATAACCACCGCAAACGGCATGGTAATCATTATAGTGTATACCCCATATTTGTAATCGTTTTTCATCTCAATGTACCAGAGCTTGTCAGACGGAGTGGTTAATAATGCTATGAGGTTGGATGATAGGGATTATTTCATTTGATCTTAACAATTCAAGTAACTATTATGCTTATAAACAATAAGATAAAGATACGAAAGCTGCTTACAACTGAAGACCATTACGGATATAGACGGATTAACCACGACATGCAAGATATTTAGCAGCTTCTTCCAGCCGTGCTTCTTCATCTCATAGTCCACTAGTGGAATGTAGAGGATGCAGATTAAAACGAGCGGAGCCTTGGCAATTAACAAGGCCCGACCGATCATATTGGCCTTTCGCCAATCACTGCACTTGATGGCCCTCAGTTCCAAAAGGAAATCTTTAAGAAGACGGTGGTTTTTTCCACGTCTTATGTCATACATAATATTCCTGTTTTTCTCCATATTCACGCTCACTCTTTTATACGTTGCCATTCGTTTGGTGGCAAAATCCATTATATTCAAGGACACCCGAGAATTTCTCTTTTCATATATCTGCAATTTATGATCCTGAAAGCGATCTAGTGTCCGTCTCAAAGAGTATAATTTTACTTCATTTTCAAAGCTATAGTCGTTTTCTTCAAGTTTCTCGATTTTAGCTTTTAAAACTAAGAAAATATTGAATATAAAATATAATTCTTTTGCTTTGGAAATATTAAAGTACTCACTTGTGATTTCCCTTCGCATTAAGTACAAGTCCAGGATGTTCACAAGTATATATAGGAAATACACCATAAACATACCTAGAAGACAAAAAATGCAACGTGATATTTTAGAATTATTACGAATATTACAAGAATTCATTCCCCTTAAAGATTTAATACATGGTTTAGTTCGCTGAATTCACATTTCTTGAGAGGAGTTTAGGCTTACCAACAAACTCCATTGCAGACACTTCCATGGGGCGAAGCAAATAGAAATTGACCAGAGACATTCCAAAAATCAGAAATAAAATATCGCGCACTGTCTCGAAGCCATCCATCCTGAAAGGATTAATGTAGCAGACGAGTCCTCCGGAGACCATGGCCACAAACAGGGCCGAACAAATGCTGGCACTAAACACAGGCACTTTGCTCCTTACATTCGCCAGGTGAACGAACAGATCGGCGGAGCTATTTCCAAATGCCAATATGGTTACGCCGGCCAAATGTTCGTTCATGTGGATCAACTTTGATACCGTCTTCAGGGCAGGACCGTAGCTGTAAAGCAAATCAAAGTTCAGCAAACCAAAAGTTTGATCACATCAGATTATAATGTTTTAGGCATATAATATTTTTACTATTAAATATTGTTTAATGAATGTAACTCACTAACTGTAAACGACGTGCATCAGTAGAGCCAGCATCATGAAGGACATTGTCACAAAGAGAGCCAACAAGCAATGTTCCTGAAATGCATTGATACACTGCAGTTTGCAGGACATCAGAAACATATAGGGGACGACATTGGTGCTCCTGTTGCAATCCACAGCTCTACGCACAAAGTCGCACTTATCCTCGTACATAATCTCGCGAGCCACAAAGCAGCTTACCCTTTCCCAAAAAAACGTAAACTCATCGTCCAAAGGATTCAGTTTAGTGGCCATTGTGAAAGTGTAAAATAGAATGAAATAATAACTAATAATTATAATAATAATAACAACATAAGGCCACAATGATTTACTGTGACATTTTTTTGTATAATGAAACGTTTACTAGATCCATTTTAAATTAAATTGTACCTCTGTTAATATTAATACCTTCTCCAATGTATTGCTCAGAGGCTTGAAACATTGTGAAGGAGTCGTTTCCGTCCCTATAAATCATATTTATTCGATCTAGGCATCTTCGGCAGCAAAAAAAAAAATGTTTATACATTTTTTCAAAATTTTATAAGGGGTTACAACGTTCAAATTGTAAAAATTTATAAAAAATTATAATTTTTTTGAATTCTAAATTGAGAATGCAGATTTATAAACCTATTAAAAACTAACATTAAAAGTTGTGCCTCTTTGGCGTAGTTATGACTTTTTTTATTTTAATTTGTCGAACAAATTGTCATACAAAAATATCGATAAATATCTATATTTGAAATTCTATTATAATCGGTTTCCGATTCGATCCCATAATTCAATTGCAAACTTAAGGGTTAATAAACTTTTGGCTCTCCGCTGTTCGTTTTCTTTATGTTTTCTTTATATAAATTTAATAGTTTATTTAATTATATTTATTATTATTATTGTATTTTATGTATTATATATTAATTTATGTATCAGTCGAGCAAAAAACTGCAGACTATAAATATTTGCTTTAAGGGCTGCTATATCTTAACGCCCCCAGCTTTTCACTGGCCTGTCAGCGTCAGATTTCAATGTCAATGTAATTACGTTGGAGGAGTAAGTATACAAATGAAACTACCGACTAACATAAAAAGCCAGAGCCTGACATGCGTCTCGGGCGATGGGAAATCAATAAAAAGAATACGAAAAAAAGGAAGGAAGGCTCTCCCTCCACACAGTATATTTTACGTCATCGGAGAGTAGCTATAGCCGTAGCCACTGTGCCGGCAGCGATAGTGAAATGGCTGATAATAAGATCAAACACAGAGGCGGACTGTGACAGTGGCTTCCTGCGAAAGTGAGCGAGCACCTTGCGTTAATAATGAAATTCTTTGTGCCTGGCTTTGAGAGATGACAGGCGAGCGTTTTGTTATTGCGGCACCTCCCTCCCCCACTTTGTGTCTAGATGGAATTTATGAAATTTTTCGCATACCCATATATACGTATACACCTCTTGCGGCCACAACTGGGAACAGCTTGGAATACCTCCTCTGTCCACCTCCCTTCCAGAGCTGACCCCCCGGACTTTGACGCATGCGTCATAGTGGAGGGCTGGTCGTATCCTCTGAACTTTCCCAGAGTCAGAGCTCACTGTGTCGCCTACCCTTAACGGGTGCAGTTCGTTCTGGTCTCGAGTTGTGCGCGATTTTTATTTTCCGAGGCCCTCCGCTGGCTGGCCATCGATTTTGTGCAGAAAAACCCAGAGTTTTATCCACTGAAAAGCTTACCAAAACAAAATTATTACAAGAAAAAGGCAGCCAAGTAAAGAAAATAAACCATACAAAATCGAATAAACAATAAAGCTTGTTAATCCGAAACTTGATCAAAAATTGTCACCAAATATAAACGAAGTGCAAAAATTTTCGCTGTTATACAGAAAGGCAGACCTCCCTTACATATACACACAATACATATATATATATATATATATATATTATAAGGATATTTATAATTAAAGTCCTGAAGAAGTTACGCGAATGTGCGCTTTTGGTTATTTATTGTTTTTCGCCCTATTGTTGACAACCATCCTGGTGCTGTCCATCATATTTGCCACCACCTCGAAGCGATCCATGTTGGATAGCTTAATACTAGTATTCAATTATACGCAGGAGGAGCAGCAGGATCAAGACATGCAGCAGGACTATCAGCAGCAACCACAAATGTTCTTGAATCAGAAGATATTTTGATTTTTTGTTAAATTATTTTTAAATGCGAGACCCCGATGAAAAACAAATATAAATCACAAACTAAAACGAAACGCAAAATTGGTAAATGCTTCAAAATATATTTGCAAAATTTCATCAATTCGCTCGATCAAACATTTCAAAATTCTCGAAAAAACATGGACCATTTCGTTTTTACATAATTTTGATTTTGTTCTCTCTATCCTCCCTTCCCCTCCCCCTTTTCCCCCATAAAAACGTATGTCCAATGAACAGTGGCCTCCACGAACAGTGTGAACAGTGCAGAGTGTAGAGATTTCCTGGCTGGCGTCGGTGTCCATGGCAAAGGCAACATGGAAATTTATTAATAAAGGTCAAGACGACCCAAGCGAAGGATATGGCCTGCGCGCGAGTGTCTGTGTGTGTGTTTGTGCGCGTGTGGTTGGAGGTCCTGCATATGGCATTAAGTGCCCGCCGTGTTGCCCCGCAGGAAGCCATAAAAAGAAACCACAATATGACGCAGAGGACAATAAAAGCGAAGGACCTCAAGTACTTAGCTCGAGTCTCAAGTGCAAATGAGGGTTGACCGAAGTAAAGAGAACTTAAAGAGCCCAGCCAGGTGTTAGGACATTGAAAACAGGACTAACTGAGAAGGAACTTCTTAACTTATTTCCGTATCATTTAATACCCCAATTTTAACTTGTCTCAGTCTGCATATCATAAAAAAATACAATATAAATAAGCATTACACAAATATTTTGCATATTCTATCTCATTTTCGCGGCTGCTTCCTTTTCTTCTCACCTTCTCTCAGCTTTCTCTAAACCTTCTCTCCACTTTGGTCCTGTCTCAGCGCTTCTGCGCAGTTCTTCCTTTGTAGACTTTGCCTCAAACTTTCTGCAGGCTGTTGCATATTTGCTTTGACAGTTTCGTCAAATTAAAAAAAAAAATAAAACATAAACAAAGTACTTTGGTCAGGTAAACAAAGAGAGCGAGAGAAAGTGAGAGAGAGAGAGTGCCGAGAAAGAGAAATTCTCACAGCTGCGCATTTGAATCAAAAGACATTGGAAGTTTCTCAAACTCGGTCTCACCATATTTCAGGACTCTAGTGTTTGCTAGTAAAAGAATTTCATTCTTGGTTGCGTGGAAATAACATCTAACAAACAAAAAAGAAACATAAAAAAGTGTTAGTGGCTTCCAAAAAAATTAACTAAAATTTAAAAAAAGTGTCATAGAACTAATAATAATAAATTTGAACAAGAAAGTGCCATCAAAAAGTGAGATATAAATCATCTATAAACTAAAGCTACGATGAATTCGGTGGTTATAGTTATCCTGTAAGCCAGTAATTAATTGGCTTTACCCAGAGGTAATTAAAATAGAAATTACTATTTGGAAAATAAGAAAAATTCGTTGAAAATTGATTTACACATTTTTCTTTTTTGGGTGTGAGTGATTTTCTTTATTCTGGCTTTTGTATTTGCTCGATGACTCATTCGAGTGTTGGCCGACACTCGTCTGCGTTTTATTGGAAGCATTGTGGATTGTGGAATTTTTTCCCTTAGCTCAGCAGTGTGTGTGTATGTGTGTGTGTGTGTGTGAGGGGGGATGTGTGAAAGTCAAGAGGGTGTGTTGGAGGGGTTACACAAAACTATTTGCATAAAATCAAAGTTCAGAAAAAAGAATATTATTTCAAAAATAAAGCTGACAATAAAGGACAATTTTGGATGTTTAGGGTTTGCTAAAACTACTTCCTTAATTTGATATGTAAAGGACTTTATTCTTTAAAGTACAGAAATATGAATGGGTTGTGTTCTTCTTTTAAAGCTGAGTGTCCTGATAAATCAAAGTCTTTTTCAAATCACGAATCCTTTTGTTTGGTTCAAATAAAATCCACAAAGAGGCAAGAAACCAATATGGACCCCACCCCTGAATTCAATACAAAATTTCCCTGGCGATTTGCCGGGGCATGACTCATAGTTTGAAGCCACCACAAGAGCCAATGGAGTACGAGTGCGACTACATTACCATTTCCAGTTCGTGGCAATTATAAAATGAGAGAGTGTTGGCCAGAACTAGAAGGAGTCCCGAGCCAATTTACAGCCCACTCGAATAACTCGAATGACTTGAATATGCTTATAAAGAGTATTCCCTTCCCTCCTCCATTTCCACTCTAGTTAACCGGAAACCAGGACACCCACTGAGAGCCAGGCCAAGATGTCGTCGGTTAAGGTGGCGGTGCGAGTGCGCCCCTTTAACTCGCGAGAAATAAGCAGGGAGTCGAAATGCATCATCGAGATGAGCGGGGCCACAACGGGTAAGAGTGTTCTAGATGTCTAAAAATTACATTTTTGTAACGCAAAAAACCCCTTGCAGCCATTACCAACCCAAAAGTACCACCCAACACAAGTGATTCGGTGAAGCGATTCAACTTTGACTATTCCTACTGGTCGCACGATGTAAGTTTATATAACTCTAAAGCATTGAGTAAATTATAAATAACAAATGATTGTTATATCAGCACCACGATGCCGACTTCTCCACACAATCGATGGTCTACAAGGACATTGGAGAGGAGATGCTGCAACATTCCTTCGATGGCTACAATGTCTGCATCTTTGCCTATGGACAGACTGGAGCTGGCAAATCTTACACCATGATGGGCAGGCAGGAGGAGCAGCAGGAGGGCATTATACCCATGATATGCAAGGATCTATTCAATCGCATACAAGAAACTGAGACAGATGAACTCAAGTATTCGGTAAGTCTTTTCAATAACTCTTAATTTCAGATAATGCCTAACTCTTTTTATGTTTTATATACCAGGTTGAGGTCTCCTACATGGAGATCTACTGCGAAAGGGTTAGGGATCTGCTGAATCCCAAAAACAAGGGCAATCTGCGTGTGAGGGAGCATCCTTTGCTGGGTCCTTATGTCGAGGATCTTTCCAAATTGGCCGTCACTGATTACCAGGACATACACGATCTCATAGATGAGGGCAACAAGGCGCGGTGAGTTATCTTATTAACAATTATTAATATAGTTTCATGAATATTTTCTGGTATGTTTTCTTTTAGAACTGTGGCCGCCACAAACATGAACGAAACTAGTTCCCGTTCCCATGCCGTTTTCACCATATTCTTTACTCAACGTCGCCATGATACCATGACCGATTTAACCACAGAAAAGGTCTCCAAGATAAGCCTGGTGGATTTGGCTGGATCGGAGCGAGCGGATTCAACTGGCGCCAAGGGAACACGGTTGAAGGAGGGAGCTAACATCAACAAGTCCCTGACCACTTTGGGCAAAGTTATCTCAGCTCTGGCAGAAGTTGTAAGTGTATTTAATATCAAACCTTATTCAAATAATATAATTAATGCGCTTGCTCTTCCTGCTGCCTTTTTAACCGTCAGTCTGTAAGTATATTTGCATCACAAATATCTCAAATAATAATAAAAACATATTAATTTATTATAACAGGCATCTAAGAAAAAGAATGCCAAGAAGGCTGATTTTATTCCCTATCGAGATTCAGCTTTGACTTGGTTGCTGCGTGAAAATCTGGGTGGCAATTCCAAGACAGCCATGATAGCAGCTATCTCGCCAGCAGATATTAACTACGACGAAACTCTTAGCACTTTGCGGTAAGCTTAATATTAATTATAATATTATGTAACACATCATATTAATAATATAAAATTATAGCTATGCGGATCGTGCCAAGCAAATCGTGTGCAAGGCCGTGGTCAACGAGGATGCCAATGCCAAGCTTATACGCGAACTCAAGGAGGAGATCCAAAAGCTGCGGGATTTGCTCAAGGCCGAGGGTATTGAGGTGCAGGAAGGTAAGTTACCCCACTATTTACGTAAGGCTACCTTCAAGTAAGCTAGAGTACATTATAAACCCAGCCACACATCCAAAATTACTCGCTACACTTCTATAAAACCCAAAGAAACCCAAGCCTAAGTTAGTCCTAGTTATATTTACTAACTAGTAAGTTATGCTAGAGAAACAAAAGAACAAATGCAAAACCCAAAACCTATTTCGTTTAGGACCCGATGGCAAGGTGGTGTGTGAGAAGCGCGATGCGAATAGTAAGTAAAGCCATAAGCAATTCAGCGCTAAACAAAATTTAAAGGCTTCACGTGCAACAAAAAATTGTTATTATAACCACAAAAGACTATATACAACAAGAAAGGAAGCTAATTTCGGTACGCCGAAGTTTTTATACCCTTGCAGATTGAAATTCGATCACTAGGAATAAATACAATATAAATTATATATATATTTATGTTAAATAAATGTTAAATGCCATTTCAATCATTTGTATGGTAGCTATATGATATAGTAGTCCGATTTTCATTAAACTTTACAAAAAGAATTATATATTATGACTATATATCAAATTTCATCAAAGTCTGTTGAAAACTGGAAAAGTTATAATATTTTTCTTACAATTTTCCGATCGTTCCTATAGCAGCAAGATATACGTATATATATAGTTCACCGATTCGCCATTCTCCGACTTATATACTAGTAAATTATATAGACGAATAACTCCATAGTTTCATTCAAATAAACTTAAATGGTTCCAAAACAAATCTCGCACATCTGAGCATATGATTCCCAACTGGTTCTAACATCCCCGGAACGAAGTGGCTTCTGCTGGCCAAGTCTCAGAAATGTGTTGTGTTACAAAAGTTGCAAGTCATTGTTTATTAGTGTTCAAAGTTAGTAACTGATCATACATACTTACTGGTCATAGACATTACTGGTCATAGATCTTAATGTTCATTGATACTTACTGATCATAGTTAGTTACTGATCAAAGTTACTTACTGGTCAAAGTTAATTACTGATCATAGTTCTTTAAATCGTCCGATTGTTCCTATATCAGCTATATATGTATATATATAATCCACCGATTGGCCATGCTCCGACTTCTATGCTAGTAAAATTATATAGACGAATAAATCCATAGTTTCATTGACATTGCTCTTAAATTTCTTCCAAAACAAATCTCGCACATCTGAGCATATGATTCCCAACTTGTTCTAACATCCCCGGAACGAAGTGGCTTCTCCCGACCAAGTCTCAGGAATGTGTTATGTTACAAAAGTTGCAAGTCATTGTTTATTAGTGTTCATAGTTAGTAATTGATCATGCATATTTTCTGTTTGTAGATACTTACTGATCATAGTTACTTACTGGCCATAGATACTTACTGTTCAGAGTTACTTACTGATCATTGTTGATAGCTGATAACTCCTTTCCTGCGTTGCAAATTTCTGACTGAAATTGTAATACCTTGCAAGGGTATAAAAATGTAAAGTGTGTTTCAAAGCTTTATGGGCGTGTTCTTATATCCCTAAAAGATTCATTCACTTATAGTTTTGAAACGCACTGATCTTGTAGTTAACCACTTTCCATAGTTATCTTGAAATTGTCTTTGTGTAAGTGTGCATCTGTAATGTGCTGTACCGTCAAAAGCTTCAAAACCAAATACCGCTTCAGGACGAATATATATCCCATATGATAATCACAATCAAGTCCTCTTTATGTTGCCTTCAAATACACCAAAAGAGCCTCCAGAACTGAATTCCTGCAACAAGGATCTTCAGCTGAAAATGTTTTGTGGCGTTTTATTTGAGTTGCCAATGTGAAAAGAAAAGTAAAGTAAAGAAAGACAACTCCTCGCAGTCCTCACTGCTGCCAAAGCGAGAAAGTGGACAGGCCAGAGTTACGCAAGAATCCCATACTGAATCGGCATATTCGCTTCGTTCCGTATATAAATATATATTTACATATCTCTATGTATTCCATAACCTTTATAACCTTAGCACGCTTATCACTGCGCTTGTGACTTCAGAAATAGGTCCAAAATTCGTCCCTCTAATATCACTCATATTTTTGCAGAGGATGAGATCACCAAGTCTACGGTGATTAAGTCACCTAGCAAGTCTCGCAATCGTAATGGATCCACCACGGAAATGGCTGTGGATCAGCTGCAGGCCAGCGAGAAACTCATTGCAGGTAAATGTAGAATTTTCTTTTAGGTTAAGAAATATTTTATAAAAACCAATTCCTCTCAGAACTCAATGAGACTTGGGAGGAGAAACTCAAGCGTACCGAGGAGATTCGCCTTCAGCGGGAGGCTGTCTTCGCTGAGATGGGCGTCGCCGTCAAGGAGGATGGCATCACAGTCGGTGTATTTTCACCCAAGAAGACCCCGCATCTGGTCAATCTTAACGAAGATCCCAATCTCTCCGAGTGTTTGCTCTACTACATCAAGGATGGCTTGACCCGTCTGGGTACCCATGAGGCCAATCTTCCGCAGGATATTCAGCTCTCGGGATCGCACATCCTCAAGGAGCATTGCACCTTTGAGAACCGAAACAGCACGGTGACCCTGCTGCCGCACAAGGATGCCATTATCTATGTCAATGGACGCAAGCTGGTCGAACCGGAGGTTCTCAAGACCGGTTCCCGTGTAATTCTGGGAAGAATCACGTATTCCGCTTCACGAATCCAGAGCAGGCCCGTGAGCTGCGCGAGAAGATCGAGGAGGAGAACGAGGCGGAGAACGAGGTGGAGAAGGCGGACACCCAGCAGGTGGACTGGAACTTTGCCCAGTGCGAGTTGCTCGAGAAGCAGGGCATCGATCTGAAGGCCGAGATGAAGAAGCGTCTGGATAACCTTGAGGAGCAGTACAAGCGCGAGAAGCTCCAGGCCGATCAGCAGTTCGAGGAGCAGCGCAAGACCTACGAGGCACGCATAGATGCCTTGCAGAAGCAAGTGGAGGAGCAATCCATGACCATGTCGATGTACAGCAGCTACTCGCCAGAGGATTTCCATCAAGAGGAGGATGTCTACAGTGAGTGATTGTCAATGGATTTCTAACCTTGTGATATAATATTGTTTATCCGCAGCCAATCCCATGTACGAGTCCTGCTGGACAGCTCGGGAGGCTGGACTGGCTGCCTGGGCCTTCCGCAAGTGGCGTTACCACCAGTTTACATCCTTGCGTGACGATCTCTGGGGCAATGCCATCTTCCTCAAGGAAGCCAATGCCATTTCTGTAGAGCTCAAAAAGAAGGTACATCTCTTTTAATTAATGAAATATCTCCTTAGTTAAATCCCTGGTACTTTCCCGCTTTCAGGTGCAATTCCAATTCACTCTTTTGACCGACACCCTGTACTCTCCATTGCCACCCGAGCTGGCCTCCACTGTGGCTCCTCTGCATCAGGAGGATGAGTTTGGAGCACCGCCCGTCTCCAAGACCTTGGTGGCTGTCGAGGTTACCGATACCAAGAACGGAGCCACCCACTACTGGTCCCTGGAGAAGTTACGGTAGGTTCTTTCAAGTCCTAAGTTCGAGTGTGAACTCCTGAACTTCCTCCTTCCTCACATTCATTTTTCTCTGCACTTTGGTTGAGAGTTAAAAGCTGGCTTTTAATTTGAGTTGGTCGTTATCCCTTTCGTTGGAACGTGCATGGTGGTTGTAGTTCATCATGGATTCTAGTTTCTATCAAATGCTCTAGAATTTCTTGGTTCATTTGTATAACTTTTGGCTATAATCGAAGCGAAGAAGATCACGCCGCCACCATTTACGCCTCAAGACTCATCGCCATCATTCGCCAAAGCCCGAATATAGCTTAGGTTAGGTTATTCAAACAGTTGTTGATTTGTACTTTTTCGGTTCTCTTACTACGAATCCCGTGACCCGTAACCCGTGACCCTCGTATCCCAAATCCCACTATCCCCGTTCCAACTCATTTTTGTACACCACCAAGCTATCGCCTCGAGCTGATGCGACAGATATACAATGTCGAGAGCCCGCCATCGTCCATGCTGTTCGATACGTCCGGCATGGGGGAGGCATTGAGCGGAGCGTTGATGGGACCACCCAGCCAAGATCTGCATCCTGGTCAGCAGCAGCTGCCCCCAGTCGAGAGCGAACGCGGCCGCCTGACACTGGCCAATCTGATACCTTCTAGGTGTGCTTTGATCGCAGGTTTCATTTGTATATAGACGTGTGTGTAGAAAACTATCCTTAGTTGTAGTTGCATGGCTTTCCATATATATTCGGCTTTGATTTCGGGGGGTTTCAAGCTTGATGTTACGCTGTCTCCGCCGCACCTCTTTTCCTATGCAAATTATAATTTATTTATCAAGAATCCTTCCCAATTATCATTTCTAATTCCGAATTGAATGCGTTTTTCTAGGCAACGCTTGGAGCTGATGCGCGAGATGTACCACAACGAGGCCGAGATGAGTCCCACATCGCCGGACTATAATGTAGAGAGCCTCACTGGCGGCGATCCCTTCTATGATCGGTTCCCCTGGTTCCGCATGGTGGGTCGATCCTTCATCTACCTGAGCAACCTGCTCTATCCGGTGCCCTTGGTCCACAAAGTAGCCATTGTGAACGAGCGAGGAGATGTTCGTGGCTACCTAAGGATTGCTGTGCAGCCAGTTCTGGACGAGGAGTCCATTGACTTTAATAATGGAGTGAAGCAATCAGCACGGTTGGTCTTTAATGAGGACGATGCCAAGCCCAAGTATCGAGCTCTCAACGAGAAGGATGATGTGCAGCGGTATATCGATAATGGTGGTCTGGACAGCAAGCTGGAGGGTGAGTCTATCAGGAATTTGGCTTATTTAAACGATATAATATTGTTTTTCCCTAAACAGAACTTGAGGATGTAGATTCTGGTCGCGGCATTGACTCCAATTCCGCTTCCGAGTGCCATGAGAATGCCGAGGAACCCGGTGAGCATTTGCAGGTGGGCAAGGAATTCACCTTCCGTGTCACCGTTCTTCAGGCCACCGGCATTGGAGCCGAGTACGCTGATATATTCTGTCAGTTCAAGTAAGTTCACTATTAGAGATTATCTTGTGAATTTAATTTAAATAAGGATTGTTACAGCTTCTTGCATCGTCACGAGGAGGCTTTCTCTACAGAACCCGTCAAGAACTCAGCTTCGGGTGCTCCTTTGGGCTTCTACCATGTGCAGAATGTAAGCTTGTTCTTCCTCCTGCAAAATACTTAATCACAACATTTGAAATTCATTTCAGATAACTGTACCTGTGACCAAATCATTCATTGAGTACTTGAAGACCCAACCATTATGTTCAAGATCTTTGGTCACTACCAGACACACCCCTTGCACAAGGATGCCAAGCAGGAATTCGTTTCCCGGCCACCGCCACGTCGTATGCTGCCACCGAGTATACCCATTAGCCAACCGGTGCGCAGTCCCAAGTTTGGACCCCTACCATGTGCGCCTACGTCCACGGTGTTGGCCAAGCACGATGTTCTCGTTTGGTTTGAGATCTGTGAGCTGGCGCCCAATGGGGAATATGTGCCATCGGTTTGTACCAGGATAAAGTCTGCCCTTTAAAGAGAAACTAATCCAATTTTAAATCTCTTTACAGGTGGTAGAGCACAGCGATGATCTTCCCTGCCGTGGCCTGTTCCTGCTGCATCAGGGCATCCAGCGGCGCATTCGCATTACTATCGTTCATGAGCCTACAGCCGAGGTGAAGTGGAAGGATATCAATGAGCTGGTTGTGGGACGTATACGGAATACTCCGGAATCATCCGATGAGCAGGATGAGGATGCCTGCGTGCTGTCGCTGGGCCTGTTCCCCGGCGAAGTGCTAGAGGTACCCGGCGATGATCGCTCCTTCTACCGTTTCGAGGCTGCCTGGGACTCGAGTCTGCACAACTCGGCGCTGCTTAATCGCGTTTCCCAGGGCGGTGAGACCATTTACATCACTTTGAGCGCTTACTTGGAGGTGAGTCATGGAAGCTCCCAAATCGATTGAATTTCTAAATAAAAAATCTCATTTTTAGTTGGAGAACTGCGCACGCCCGGCCATAATCACCAAGGACCTGAGCATGGTCATCTACGGCCGTGACGCTCGCACCGGTCCCCGATCTCTGAAGCACCTGTTCTCCGGACAGTATCGCAATCCGGAGGCCAATCGGCTCACTGGTGTCTATGAGCTGGCACTGCGCAGAGCATCCGAAGCAGGTAGTCCAGGTAGCAATTCTCATTGTAGTTGTACTCGTACTCGGTCCGCTTGCACTCGCTTGCCGAATCTCTGGAGCTGGCTCCCATTCACTTGGGGTTTCTCTCCTTACATTTGCAGGTGTACAGAGGCGTCAGCGTCGCGTGTTGGACACCAGTTCCACCTATGTGCGTGGTGAGGAGAATCTGCATGGCTGGCGGCCAAGGGGTGACTCCCTGATCTTCGACCATCAGTGGGAGCTGGAGAAGCTCACCCGGCTAGAGGAGGTGGGCCGCATGAGGCATCTCCTTCTGCTGCGCGAACGCCTGGGCATGGACACCAATCCCAATCCGACCACCAAGACCGAGAAGGATGTATGCAACCTGGCTGCTCGGGCAGCTACCTCGCCCGTACACATGGTCATTCCACAGTCTCCGCAGACTCCGGTCAAGGATCCGCAGCAAATCATTCCAGAGCGCGAGTACAACCAGCGAGAGCAGGATCTCATGCTCAAGTGCTTGAAGCTGGTGCAGGGTTAGTTGAGACTTGAGTATTCCCATGCTGTCAGTTGCTAAGAATCTGTTTTTAGGACGCTACACCAAGAGCGAGGCCAGCGACACGCAGACCCAGTCGGATGTGTCACCCAGCGATGAGGGATGTGCCGACATGACCGTCAGCTGCATTTCCAGCAATTCAATGGAGTAAGTAGTCGCTTAACCACCTCGCCAATTGCATCCAAACGAGAGCACCTTCCATCTTAGTTAGCTTGCATCCATATTCGGCTTTCTTGGTTTATTAGAGTAAACGAAATTGGCACAACACCACAGCACACAACATGGTACATCAATCCACCACACTAACTCCTCATCCACGGTCTCACCATGAGCTCACAAGAACATCCTGTACACCCCGAAACTGATGCTCGCAGGGTGTCTCCTCTATTTAGAATTTTGTAGACGTAAATCCAGGAGACCCAAGGAAATTAGTGTTTAAAGAACATATTTATATGTTTATTATTCAAATTGTTGAACTTAATTCAAAGTGTTACGTCACGGTTTTTACTGAAACACACGATGGGTTTCCACAACTTGCTGCGTAGTGCCTTGGGGACACTCCTTTCGCAAGATGCAAAGTTGAAGGTCCTCCTCAAAGATATAGCCAGGCTTGCACACACAATTTACGCCACAGTATGTGGCACATTTCAGGGATTTGAAGGCACAGGTTTCGGGACAAACTCCGGCACATCTCTGCATTGTGGCGTTGACGCCACAGAATCCCGGAAATGGATTCCAAATGTACTTCTCGCGATCAGGATCCGGGTCCTTCTCATGGTGTAGCACGACTTCCTCATCAAAGCTAGTAGCCATTACCATTTTCATGAATAAAACTGCCGGCAGCAGCAGACAAAGTGAAAATAGTACCCGAGCCATTATAGAAACCAGAAGCAACTGGAGTTAATCGTGTCAGTCTCCGCCTTATATTGTTGCCAGTAGCTACTTCCATGTAATTGCCTCTCCATTCGATCATCGCAGTGCAAACAAAACTAACAAAACTCCATAATCGATCACTCATATTCCTTCCTAATAACTCGAGATACTCAAAAAACAAAACTTCCAATATTTTATTTGTATGTTTTCCTTTTTTTCGGTTTTCTTTTACACAACAAAAAATTAGAAACAACAAATTTGTAATTCGACGCAGGTAATTTTCTGTTCTATCCAAAGAACCCAATACTTTAAATGAACCAACGCATCAAGTGAGGCCCTGGCTAATTGCTCTTGTTTTGTCCCATCCAGATTATGTTCGCCGGATCGTGCGGATGCACCGAACGGCTGGGAGGCCCCGGCTCCGGCCACACAGCCGGCCCTGCCGCTACGTCTCTATGTGCCCGAACTGGAGGAGATACGCGTCAGTCCTGTGGTGGCCCGCAAGGGTCTGTTGAACGTCCTGGAGCATGGCGGTTCTGGCTGGAAGAAGCGCTGGGTGGTAAGTTGTCGTGGAATTAGTGCATAGTTTTGTATTTATATTTGATATATTACTCCTGTAGATTGTTCGTCGCCCGTATGTGTTTATCTACCGATCGGAGAAGGACCCCGTTGAGCGGGCTGTCCTGAATCTGGCCACCGCTCAGGTGGAGTGCAGTGAGGACCAGGCAGCCATGGTCAAGATACCCAACACATTCAGGTGAGCCTTGGCTACCCTAAAGTTATGAAGCATTTCTTGAGTTAAACCACAAACTATTCCTGTTTTCAGTGTGGTGACCAAGCATCGTGGCTATTTGCTACAGACCCTTGGCGACAAGGAGGTGCATGACTGGCTGTATGCCATTAACCCCCTGCTGGCCGGGCAGATCAAGTAGGTTTACTTAATCATACCTAAGCTTTTCAAATTAATACTTTTATTATCCTTATTAGATCCCGCTTGGCGCGTCGAACCTTGGAGCCGGCCAGCCAGACGGCCTCTCAGATCCAGGCCACCAGTGCGGCGAATGCCAACAGTGCGAACAAATGAGATACGATCACGATGGAATCCGTTTTGGTTTACTGAGACGCAGGCTATGGCTGGCTGCAGCGCCTGAGCATCGCCCGACGGTTGGTCAGGCGGAGATCGCAGCGGCTGGCAACTGATTGAGGTTATAGCTTGGATTCCATCGGAGAAGTAGGATATAGAATATAATGAAATCGAATGATCAATGGTCAGACATGATAATTATGGGAGGAAAGAAACCAAATGCAAAGCGTACGTAATTATTAAGTAGTTCAACAACAACAGCATCCATGAATGTATGGACTTATGGATCATTATTATGTATTATGTATTTCGTGATTAGTTGCAGCTCGAATCAGATACGGATAGCCTACTTTTTAGAACCCGTCTTATGGTTCAGTTCTTGGACAATTCTGTAAATAGCCTTTGTTGGATTCGATTGTATAAATATTTGGTATTTAGTTAGAGGATCGTTTTTAGTTTGAGTTCCCAGCGTGATATTATGTTGATCAGTTTAGATTGTATTGGATTCCCTTCTCAAATATATCATATGTATGCGACAATTATTGATGATGCTTGAGACACACACGTATATGCATTTTAAAGGAGCAACTAAAGCAAAAACAGATATACATATATATATAAAGAATTAATGTATAAATCCCTATATATTTGCTGTTTATACACAAATTTTCAAATACTTGTATCTTGTATTGTTTAACCGACAAAAAGAGGAGCAGGCAGGAGACAGCCAGAGATGATTAACGAAAACCAAATATGTATGTGTGTGTGTGTTAAAGAAAGACCGTACAGTATATAGGATATAGCTCAGCAGAATTGCGAAATCTCTATAAAGATAACGATTATTGTTAGATCTATATATATATAAAATATATATACACGAAAGCAACCAGAACTATATGCGAATGAAACTATTTTACACACCAGAGTTACGAACGCTGCTATAGGAACAGTTGTTGCCCTTCCCCACGCCCCACATTGTCGACTGTTGTTGACGGCTTTTAAGGCTTTCCCCCACAAAAGTTTCGCTTCTCTTACAATGCTCCCACTCGGAACCACCTGCAAAAGCTTCAAGCAAGAACACAACGTTACGGAACAACCAATTGTAGTTTTGATAAGAATCTTAAATTATAGTATGCAATGGCCACCTGTACATTTCCCAAGAACTAAAACTGAATCTTTGCTTTTGCTTTACCTCAGTCAATGAAGGGTTTTGACATTTCATTTGCGTTTTGCCTTCGGTTGGAGCACGAGCTTAGGTCAGGTTAATGGATCAAATTATTGGGGGAGACAATGGAGCTTCGCTTGTGCCCGGATCACAAGTCCCGAAGCTCCCCGAGTTGTTGATGGGATCACTTTCGTCCGTATCCGTTACGGAAATGGAATGTTAAGTGATCGGTTGGCAGAATATTGGATATAGAGTCGGCGTTTTTGGGTTTGAGTTTATTGTAGCAAAATGTAAACATTTGTTAAACTATTGAATTAATTTCGAATTGTAACATATTAGAGAATTGTAATTACAATAATCATTATACGAGCATTATATATTATCTGATATATGTATCTATGTAATAACCCCTTTGGCCCGGTTTGAATTTACCAAAGAACAAATTGAATTGCACACACGGAAAACACATAGAGCGGCTAGCAATTAGCAAGGCGAGTTAACGAGCATAAACTCAACTTATATGTATATGTATGCGTATATAGTACATACAAAATACATTTCAAAATCTATCTAAATATATACATCGGCTATATATATACATATATATATATAAATGAGATGATTGCCTGGCAAACGTTTCAAATGACAGATAAGATCGAAAGGAGCAGCAGAACCAATGCAAGGACTACCAGTTGGTACCGAGGAAAATCCCCGACAAAAAAGAAAAATAAATAAAGGCAAAGAAAACCCTATGCTATGTGTATGTATAATCCAAAACAAATTGATATATGCCAGGGCGTATCACTATTAAAGAAATATAAAATAAAACGGCTTTAAATAAAATCTGTAAATTATCAAAAGTCTTTCAATTTCTTACATACCCTGGTTAATCTTTAGTATACCTTTTTTAGTGAAGCATAAAAAATTGATTTATTCACTTAGTTATGGGCTTAATGAAATCTGGAGTCAGTACATCAGGAACCCTGGCATCATGGACAGCTTCAAAGCAGTGTGGTTACTTGGTCTTCTGTTGGTAACTGGATCTTTGCTCTTAACTCAATTAAAAGTTAAATTAAGCTTTTATTTGTATAGATTTTCCAATCCAGCTTGGTGAGATGTCAAAGCTACAATCCAAAACATATATTCACCTGTTTTGAGATCCTTTCGAAGGGCATTGCGGATGTCAGCATAGAGGTCCTTCCCAAGTTCAAGGAGTTGGTCAAGTGCACGCGCTTTGTGCCGGATGGGAGTTTAGAGGATCTGGAGACCCCACGTTTCAGGGAGTTGGCCTCCGCCTTCCTACTGAAGCTCGTCCGAGGACCAAGCTGCCTTGAGAAGTATGCAGATGGCATGATGGAGCTTATAAAGCCACATAAAGCCCAATTTGATACGAATAAGTGCGCCTATTTGGGTGTTGCTCCACAATGTTGGCCCACCACAAAGTAAAGATAATGGAACAGATGATGTGTGCCTAATAATTAGAAAAGTTTATTAATTCGTTCATTTCAAATGCTTCATTTTAATATCAATCTTTATTTTGTGCTACCTATTCTCGGGATATCATAAATCAAGTATATGATGCTTGATTTTTTCAGAATCGAACGTAAAAATTTCTGTGTGCAAATAGGCATACCAAATCAACTTATTTACCACGATCCAGAAGCTAAATACATATCTTCTCTTACCTATATTTGTTTCTTAAATGTCGATTTTAATATAATATATATGCATGCAGAATCGATGAAGTTATTTAATCATAGAGAAGTACAGAAATGTGCTTAGTTGTTCCTTGACATATCTCAGAGATGGCCAGTGCAAGGTTTTTATTTACACTCTCTTGTGTGGCGGTAAGATATTCCTCAAGATCCTTGTTCAACTTATATATACATACATTTTCACAGCTTTTGGGCACCACCTGGGATATACATATAATATAAAGCAAATTGGGGTTTGTCTGCAGATTGTATCCGAAGCCACGTCTGATGTAGCCTTCCATGTCCTGCCGTATTTCCATGATCTCACCGAATGTATCAAGTACCGGAACCACATGGATCTGAACAACTTATCCTTCCTCATGTTCGGCATGGTGGTCTTCAGTTGGCTGCAAAGCTTGGCTTTGGAAATGAATTGCCTGTGGACAATGGAGGATCAACTAAGGGTAGTCCTGGCTCCGCATTGGCAGCGACTTAACCAATACCAGTGCATGTACTTGGGCTTGCCCCAGCAATGTATACCAAAATGATTTATATTGAATTAAATAAAGTTAAATGACTGGAATGAAGAATGTTTTAAGACCGTAGCAAATTAACTAACATCCGCTTAAAGGTAAGAGCTCAAAGCAAATGTATTCATAGTCATTCGTCAGCATGTCAAGAGTAAAGTCGACTCTATTGGTGAGCTCTTTGCTCGTAAGTTGATCCATTAAATAGACATAAACTATCCTTACTTATCTAACCCTTTACCACTTAAAGCTCCTACAAATAGTGGCAATTGAGGCACAGAAGATAAATCTGATCAAGATCAACAATTGCTTGAAAGTTGCCCTTGAACTAACAAGTGCTGTTGCCAAAAAAATTGTGCCAGTGATCAAGGATGCTATTGATTGCGTTCAATATCAAGTGAAAATTAACACTGAGCGTATGAATTTAATGCAGCTATTATTGCTGGTCTACCAGTTCATCCAGTACACCTTGAATAACCGATTGGATTGTCTGACAAATGCCTATATGACAATATCTGCCATCACGACTCCTTACACAGATTCATTGAGTTCCATGAAGTGCGCCTATTTGTTTGTACCGGAGCCATTGTGCTGAAAAATCTAGAGACTAGCAGAAATAAATAATACAATTTGGCAGTTCTCTGGGTTTTTTAATCCACTATAAAATTTTATTAACAGAGATATCAAAGTATATACATATGTAATGAATAATCGAAGCTGTCAAGATAAAGGACATCTTAATATACCTAAATGGTGTAAGAGTATATTATAAAGAATACCCCGAAAATATATGGAAATACATTAAATATAAACCATCTTCTTAAAATTTAATTCGTTGAAAACCTTTTCTTTGTGACCTTGAGAGTAATGTTATTAATAAATCAGTCAACAAAGCGTAACAAATTCATTGGAAACCACTTTTAGTGTAAAATTTATAGTTAGAGCTGCTAAGAGGCAGGACGAATGCGATTATCCTGAGGCCTATAAATAGGGCAACGAGTACAGAGCTCCAGAAAGTTGCTTCCGGGAGTCATTTAGATAAAAGCAAACCCAATACCCCAAGCTCCAATGAAACTACTTCCGTTGACCCTAGTGCTGAGCTTGCTGGCTGTAAGTAGAGTCTCTTAAAAACATAAAATATTAAAATAATTGGTTAAATATCAATATATTTTATTGCAGTGTGCATCAATTAGTCAAGCCCATGGGCAGGACTGGGATAAACTCACAAAGTGCGCCAGGGTGGGCACCACAGTGGCTGCCGAAGTTCTCAGGAATTTGATTCCGGAACTGCGAACTTATCTGAACTGCGTCGACTTCAATCCGCCACCAAATCCTTCAAATTGCATTCTCGGATACATTAAAGTAGCTTACGAGCTGCTGAAACGAAGCGTCAATGGGAACATTAATTGTCTGGTAGATCCCCTAAAGAGAGGCATCGAATTCCTGAAGCCTAACATCGCCGAGGTTGACGATTTGAAATGTCTCGATTAAACCGTCTAAATTTATTATCATTTTCGAAATAAAGTTTAGAGCAGCTTGCTGTACTTTTAGCAAGTATAAATTTGATGTCTCAATTATTTTTGGGATACAGAACTTAATAGTAGTTAAGCTAGTAGTTAAATAAATAAATAGAAAGTCAAAGTCAAGCTACTCGCTGCATTATTTAATATAAATGTATATGAATTAAATAATATGAATAATTTACAAAAGTTTTATGTATTACTTAAGAAGTTTTATTATATTCTAAAATGTAAACTTGGCTCTGAGCGAGGCAAATGCCTCAATGCCGTACATTATTTCCCTCTTACCAGCTTCCGTTTTATCCTTGAAGAATTGGATTATGTAAGCCCCATTTTATCCATGACCATAGTATAGGGTGCATCTAATTGCTACAACTAATTGATTTAGGAAACAATCCTATAAATAGGACAGCTGAATCCATTGAGACTCAAAGCCTATTCCATTCACAATCCCTTAAGAATGAGCGTGTTCAAGGCCATATTCTTGCTTAGCCTCTTGGCCGTAAGTACCATAATACTATTATACATATGAAATGATATATTTAAAATCTATAATTAACTTGAATAGATCATTTTGGCTCCCCAGAAGGCCCAGTCCCAGAGCCTTGTTAAGCCCGAGTGGAGTAAGTTTGCCAAGTGCAGCCATGTGCTAATCGAAGCGGCGACACAACTGGCCAGGAACATTGTACCGACTGTCTACGAGATAAATAAATGCACCGGATATGTAGTGGAGTCTCCTGGAAATGGCGGAAAAAAGACACTGTTTTGGTATGCAAAGATCACCTTTGAGTTTCTCAAAAAGTTGGTCCTCGATCAGCCCAAGTGTCTGCTAAACCTACTGGACAAGGTGATAGTGACCCTGAAGCCTTATGTAGAGCAAATTGGTAGCATCGGTTGCCTGGACGAGAATGACTATTTCTATTAAATAAGTAAATTTGTGTAAATTGTACTAAAACAACTTACCATAAAATGATAGAATAGCATGGCTTTCATGTTAGCACAAGTATAAATTTTATATTATAATTTATTCAAGATTATTCAATAAAGAAGATTTGGCCAAAGGGTTTCAATTACCAACCAAGGAATTTTTAGCATAGTCCTAATTAGACTTTACTTTATTTACATAAAGTAATTCAATATATTATTTTAAATTTATATAATGCAACCCTGAAACGGCCTTGAAGTCCCTTGATTAGATACACTCGAATAGATTTCGATATGGCTTAGAGCTAATTAGGAAGCGATTAATTGCGAATAAGGAAGGCCTTTAGGCATTACTAAAGAGATTATTCCGAGGCCTATATATAGGACAAAATAGCCACATGGGCTTAAACGTGGGTCTGAAGCCGTCTCAAAAGTAACCCCGATGCATTTAATTAAGATCGCCTTTTTGCTGAGCTTTTTGGCTGTGAGTATGCTAAGCCGGAAATCGTATTCCGACTCTGATCCCAATATCTTTTGTAGCTATGCCAAAGGACCCAGGTTGAGGCAGCCATAAGTCCCCAGCTGAGCAAGTATCTCGAGTGTGCAGAGGTGGTCACCGATTGTGCTGCCCAGCTGATCGAGAACTCTGTGACGGCCATCAAGGTGCTGGCCGATTGCGTTGATTTCAGGCCTGAACTAAAGCTGAATGGAAGCATCGTTAGATTCATTAAGCTGGCCTACCAATTTACTGTCAAGCTCCTCACTGAGAAGAGGAGTTGCCTGGTCGGTATGTTCAACACGGCCGTTTCCCTTATCCGACCGTCTGTGGCCCAATTCGATAAGCTGCAATGCTTGAACACCTAAAATAACATTAAAAGTCTATTTGTCAGATGTATCTTGTTAGGAAATATATCTATGCACATATGTCTTATTTGGGGCTTGCCAACATTAAATTTGTGGAGGAAATGTGAAAATTTCTTGGGCTTATACCCAATTGAAATGATTTTCCAAACACTAACTACTAACAAGATGCTTCTTACATTTTTCCCAAGTAATTTGCAACTGATTTAGACCAATAAAAATAACGTTTATTAAACCATAATTAACATTAGCTTGTAATCTTCCTTTTAATATGCAAAATACGATTCATTTTAGAGTCCATTGCTAAAATCAGTATCAATGTGAAGATAACTAAAAAATGTGCAAATATTATTAAATGAAGTAATGTATAACAGAAGGATAAACTTACACAAAATTCGAAAAGGAGTCATTTTCGGTTATTTTTGGAACTTCAAAATCCAACTATTTACCCCTTTATATAGCAAAAACTGGCGACAAATTCGTGACTATTTAATTTACGATAAAGCCCTGAGAACGTAAACACAATTATTTGAGTGTGCCTGTAATCTTGCTAGGGGAACGTGACCGAGTTGAGGGAAAAATACAGAGAAAACGCATTCGCATTTGGCCAGGTAAGTCCTACAGTTGCCAGTGGCACCTGCTAAGTAATTACCTCGATTCCATGGTCCAAATCCCTTCCATTGTGGCTATGAAATTCCATGACAACCCAAGCTGGCCACGTTCAGTGATGCAAATCCCAGGCAGCATGCCGTTGCATAAGCCCCGACAAGCAGCCTGAGTGCTGAGTGCTCCTGGAGAGGATTTGGAACCCTGGCAAGTACAAGAGATTCTGTAGAAGATCCGCTGTAATTAGGCGAGTCGTCGCCGCCGTTTGCCATTTGGCCATGGCTCCCCCGGCAATACCAGCATCTCTTTTCCTTTTACATTGTTTTTATTTTATTTTTTGCTGTGTTCACTTCGCGAATGAATAATTCAATAGTCCAGCAAAAGTCGCAGGTCTCCCAGCTTCCCAGCCGCGGGACCATATCGGTTGCTGGCCATAATCGAGGTCAGTGAAATCAAATCGCACCGACCAAGTGCTTAGCACTTGCTCAGCGGCCTGTGGAGGAACTGGAATTGGAACTTGCAACTGCAAGTGGATGTGGATGGGGATGTGGTCGTGGAAGCGCGGCTCCCTTGGCTCTGCCAGCGGCTCCACTTTCAATGGCCAAAAGCGGCCATGGGATCTTCCTCCTCCTCCTCCGCCCCAGCGTTTGTCGGTTTTGCTTTTGTTTCCGTCAGCCAAAATCACAGCCACTAAAAATAGACAACAATTAAATGCAAATCAATTGCATTGATTTTCTTTCAAGTACAGAAGGTTGTGCCTTGTAGAGAAATTTGTTAAGGAGATCTATAAAGTGAATTAGGTACATAAAGTATTTTAAGAGGAAGCTGGTACTTTAAAGTGAGTAACTATTATGCAATAAACTTTTAAAATGTTTTAAACAATATAAGAAAAGGTTCCCACAAATTAATTTGACATAGCTATTCCCCACTGTTCTTGGCAAACCTCTTAGACATTGACATTGTCCCCGAATCCGTCTTAGCCTTTCAATTAGCAGCTATAAAAGCCACCTAGATGCGCCACCAACGCCAGACGTTAAAGTGACTCCCGTCCGTTGGTATCGGGACTCAGTTATAGCCTGAGATTTCAGTTTCATCCTATCAGCTTCAGCCTACAGCTTCCCTACTGTTGAGATCACTCGCCATGGTGTTCGACTCGAAGATTAGGGTGCCCAAGTACGACTCGGATGCTTTCGACAATGTCGAGTATGAGCTGCAGTTTACGTACACGCTGGAGACGGATCGCCGGATCATGAGCTTCTACGATTCCATGTGGGGCATGGAGGTGTCCGGAGGGAGCGATCAGTTCGAACCACTGACCATTGTCAATGTCTCGCCCACGGGCTTGGCCAAGCGCGGAGGAATGCGGGTGGGTGACGAGATCACCCAGATCAATGATGTGCCAGCCTTGGAGATGACCTTCAATGAAGCCCTTCAGATGTTCCGGAAGAACTCGCACTATGTTCGCGTCTATGTTAGGGGGTGAGTTATCTCAACTATATCTCTGCATATATTATGTTTACTTACTATTTTAATTATATTTATTTAAATTAGTGATGACGATGTCCCTGGCGAGGAGGATTGGACCTGCGATTGCTGGTTTAAGCCCAGGAAGCCCTGGCGTCGCGACTTCACCCCCATTCAGTGGACCTTCCCTTGGAACGATCGCCGGAAGCCCGTCTACAAGGAGTCCAACTGCTTCATGGTGCCCAGCAAAATGGAGGAGAAGATTCGGGCCAGACGTGCTGCCACCTCGGCTGTCCACAAGAAGGAGGATGCGCCTCCGCACACTCGCTCGCTCACTCCAACGCCCAGGCCCAAGAACCAGCCAGGACCCAATCTTCTAGAGTCGGTACTAAGACCACGTGGACCTCCACCACGAGAAGTTTAAGTGGGCGATCCGTAGGATGAAGCTGACTAGGAAAACAGGCAGCGTTGAATACGCTGCAGTGTCTGAGGATTCTCAAAGAATATGAGAGGCAGGCTGGCAGCTGTGCCTTAAAATGCTTGCCCAAGGATTTGGAAAAGTGTTCCCATCCGATCACTGTCCAAATCATGTCCAGAAAATGCTGTTAGATCTTTGCTGGGAGGATAGTTTAATACAGTGCTTCGATGGAATACCCAAAATTTAAGTTGAAATGCCATTCAAAACGTTGAACAGAGATTAGGAAAAGGGTCTTTCGGGGAACCCTGTTGCAATGCTGTCCATATATAATAAAGATTATTTATATAAAAATCAGGTAAACCCTGAGAAATTAGTCGCTCTTTTATACTCTTGCATGGTATTATAATTTTAGTCAGGAGCTTGTAAAATGTGAAGGAGTCATTTCCGACCCCATAAATCATATATTTTCTCGATCAGCATAGCTCCAAATTAAAGTTAATGCATTTTTGGCCCAGTTGTGACTTTCTTAACTACGATTGTCATGCATAAATATTGATTTAAATAATAGGAAATTTTAAGCTTAGTTATGATCGATTTCCGACCCGATCTTATAAGTCAATTGCAAACTGGAAGAGTACTATATATAAACTTCTGAATCTAGAAGTTAGTTTCCTATTCGTTATGAAATTGACGGTTTCAAAACAAATCCAAGTTACGGTTTAATGTAGTATATTTAAAAGGTCACAAACTAATTGATTTTTAACACTTGCTTTACTAATATATTATTTAGATTTACATAGGTCAAAATTCATACCATAATACCATATTCAATCATGAAAGTCGTCGCCTTGTTGGCGTTGTTCATTCTTTGCCTAATTCTACCTGGACTTTCGAAGGAGCTCAGGATTCCCTGTTATGGAGAGGTATACTATAGTTGCAAGGACTATTGCCTGCGGAATTGCGTTCAGACCCGTAATATGTGCCTCGGCGAGTGCAATCTTGGATGCGGTTGCAAGCCGGCTCTAGATGCATGCCAATACAGAAATGCAGTCCCTAGGGATTCAATTAGTATCTAATAATTAATATAATGAAGTATTAATATGGTTTCATTAATGAACCAATGAAGGATAGAACAAGATGTTCTTTAACTTTTGACCATTAAAATGTCCAGACAATTGCTCTTAACTAAATGACTTTCATGCTGAAAATAAACAGCAAACAATTGGTTGCGCCTTCAATTAGTGCAAGTAAACATTAATAAATAAATTAGTGCAAGTGCCGAATGTCCTCGGGCTGTGTGTGATGATTAAATACTAAATGCGAAACAGTGGCTAAATTTTATGGAAACACCGCAGGCATTTAGCTTCATCGTAATTGGATTTTATGGCTTTTGGATTCTAATAAATAATGATTAGTGTTAAGTTTCTATTACACAGAGCTATACATATATTTTCATGACCGAATTCACAAGCATCTAATCTGTATTTATTTATGGTTCTATATAAATTATGGTTTAAAATTGCATTGTTTTTCTAAGAAATTCATATACATTTCCATGTCTTTAGTATAATATATTTATGAAATTAATTTGCTTACGGTTGTTGTTTGCTGCCTTATAACTTAAGTGAATGCATTCATCCGTTTTGGAAATCCAAAATTTTCCTTCCCCCCACCCCGGGCAACAAAATACACATCTTTGTATGTGAATGAGTATATATGCACAGCCATGAATCACGAATGCTATGTTGGCCAGATGAGAAGGCAAACAATGGCGGTTGAAATGCAAATCGGGGGAATCTCGTCTCATTTGGCTTCCACTTTCCGCCCAGAAATGTGGAGCAACTTTCTGGAGATGCGTTTTATGAAGCATATAATTCAATTTTCATTATTCAAGGCAGCAGAAAGTGGGTGTTGTTATTGCTTCTGTACTTGTTCATGTTGCCTTTCCTGGCAGGCAACCCTAGAATGTTGGTTCACAAAAGCAAAAGCCTTAATCTTTACACTGAGAAGAAGAGCCAAGTACATGGAAATTGAAATGTATGCTTAAGAATCAATTACTTAGGTTATTAAAGGAAAGAGATATTTCCCAATTTCTTTGTGGATACAAAATGGTATACTTTCCACTCATTATAGACCCATTATCCAATAGACGTATATCCCCGAGTTTCTCTCTGCTTAGCATTTATACTTGAACAAGGCACTTCCTTTAGGGGTCTTGGCTTTTCCCCGTGTTTCCGCTGCGTTTAATTGAATGAAAGTCGGAGGCTTCGAATTGATGAAGTCCTTAACCCAATCGTGCGGTGGGAGCCATTTCGTAGCCAGCGGAAAAAAGATGGCGAAGCATCGGTAACCGAGGGTTAAGACCCGCCACAAAGGACCGCCAAAGCAAACCCAAACGCAATCGGCATCGCAATTAATATTAATTTAAAACGAATATCAAACCGAAAGAGGTTAGTGGTAGTTGGGGGGAGCAAAATGGAAATTCCCTGAATGAATTTTTAATTGGCGAACAGGAAAGAATTCCACGGAAAGTCGACTTTTGCGACCCTAATGACGAGGACGATGATGAATGCTCCCGCTTGACTTTCCATTCGAGTTGGCTTTTGATTAATGCTTTAATCATACCGAAATCGATGGGGGAGTGAAACCATTATTTATTTTGTATTTTCCATTTTTCATCCAAGAAGAGGTTCAATTTCCGATGGGCAAGGTAATGCCAATCATTTTCACTAACCATTAAAGTTTAAGTTTTCACTTTTCGCGACGCTGATGCAGCGATAAAGATGCCGTGACAAAAAGCTAATTTCATCCTAATCACAATAATAACTGCGACTCCAACTGGGGCTTGGCCGGTCGCTTTAACAAAATTTCCAAATGTAATCTATGCAGACGAGGCAGAAAAAAAGAGAAACAGGTTCGCCATCGCAAGATTGGGTAAAATTTCCAATGCCGATGCCGATGCCAATGATGATGATGATGACGGCAAACAACTCAAAGTTGTCGTGGGAATCTTGGCTGGCCAAAAGCTGAAAACTTGTCAAAGTGAATGCCATGGAAAATTAGCAAAAATCATTGCAAATCAAATGGAAGACATGACCAGACACAAAGAAACTTTTTTTTTTCCAGTCAGTCGACATCCAATGTCAGAGATTGAGTGCCGTACATCAAAGTTCAAAAGTGTCAAACGCTGTAGCCACCTACCTCCATCTCCTCCTCCACAACCATCGGTGGCCCCGGGATATGGCAGGCAGTCGAGAATGGGAACACACTCCAAAACTGGCCCTGGTCCTGGTCTAGCCTGGCCTGGTCTGGCCTGGTCCGAGGAACCGAGCCGAGCCGAGCCCGGAGCTTAAGCCAATTTATAGTTTGTGTGGTGCCGGGGCGACATCGATGCTGTTTTCCCAATGCCATCGGTCTGGACGCTCCAAAAGTTTTGCCTTTGCCTTTGCACACAGGAAAAATCCCAATGGAAGTTGAGTAACTAGAATCATAAACCACATAAACTTGAGTTGAGAAGTCTCCGCTTAGTTACTGGCAATAGTTTGAGGTCAACAAATATTACCAAAGTGATGAGAAATCGAAAATCAAAGTTCAAGTGGAAAGTTACAAGATTTTAAGTTGGAAAAGCTGTCTTATTTAAACCATATTTTAATATATAAAGTTCCTATTTCTGTATTTAAACCTTTGCTGGGTTTTATAATTTCAGTTCAAAGCTTGCAACGCAGTGAAGGAGTCACTTCCGACCCTTAAATCATATATATTCTTGATCAGCATTAAAAGCTGAATAGATTAGTCATATCTGGTCAAGTAATAATTTTTTAAATTTTTTTTAAAAATTATGAATTTTTTGGCTTAGTTATGATATTTTGCAAAACTTTGATTTAGCCAAAAAATAGTATACAAAAATATCAATTTAAATATGTTTATAATGGCCATGGCTGCAAAAAGTCATGTATTTTTCAATTTGCAATTAAAAAGTTAATAAATTAAGGCGAGAACATTGGAAACAAAATTCGGTATAAAATTGAACTACAAAATATTTGTAAGTAATATCATTAAAAATTAAAAAAATTAAGATTATTTAATAATATTTAATATTCAAGCCCAAGAAGCTGGCGTCCAAATACAAGCCAACATAGCTTACCAAACTTTGGTTAATACAAACTTCGGCATCACAAAATTTGTTTAATTTTTTGTTAAAAAAAAATTTAAGGTTCTTAAATCATTGCTTTTCTCTTGGTGTAATATCTGTTGCCACTTTTTCCAGTGCCAACCAACAAGGTCGTGAGGTGAGCTGTGAGCCGAGATCTGGTAGCTGCTGGGACTATCAGTTTGGACAAACACAGAGTACATTGTAGGTTCGAGTGGGTAGGGGAAACTTAAGCTGTGTCAAATGTGGGTCAGTCTTAAGCTAACCAAATAAACGATTTGTCCAAATCCAGGAGCAAGTCGTGCCGTAAAGAGGCCAGATGAGATTGAAATGCGATTAGAGTTGGGAAAATAGAGGGAGAGATTCAAGAAAAGAAGAAGGTTTTCTAGAAAATATATGTAGGTTTAATAGATCATGTTATTGTTTATGGTTTCAAATGAATAAATAAATATTTGATTGGTTTTTATGGTATAAGTAATTCCCTGCATACTTCAGTTATTCTGAATGCACACTTAAATATGGATTAAGCCACGTTTTCGAATGCTGTCATCGACTTGCAACAATTGTTGACTGCATCCTTCAATTTTCATCCACTCCGACTGGCAGGCCCGATAAATCCTGATGCCCCTCGATGTCAGCCGCAGGCTGCGGATCTCTGGATCCTCTCCTCCTGCGGAGTGACAGCGCCAGAGCTTGGTTCCTTTTTTTTGTGTGCCTGCATGAATATTTCATGAATGCCACTTCTCGCAAATAAAGTTGTTTGGTAGTCACATTTTGTGGCTCCCAGCTTGTGTTGCCGGTTGCCCGATGCCGCTTCCTGTGTCAATCAATTCATGCAGACGAGACCCCTTGACTTTGGGACACATATTCATCTGCCTTCCACCTTTCCACCCCACACCCCCACCTTGTGGGTCATCCCTTCAACATTGCGCATACGCCGCATAAGCCGCTCACTAAACATGCCATGCCAAGGCGGGGGGTGAGGTTGGTTGCGAAACATTTTTATCACATTCAGGAATCCACACAACAAGCAACAGTTACAACAACACAACTACAACAACATCGGGAGGACAACAATTCACTTTGGTCATTAGCATAAGAGGCGGATCTGGGGTGGGGGTGGGGATGCCGGTCAGCGATGCCCTTAATTACACATTCCTAATCTGGCTCAGCCAGGGGTTCCGACAGGAGTCGGAAATTAAGACCTATCCGGGTGAGGAGTCACAGATTAAATACCCCAAAAGATAATGTTTCAGTTTAAGGAATTTCGGTGGGAATGTAAATAAAGGGAAGGGGTATTTGTACTGGAAATTAAATAAAATGTTCTCAGAGGCAGTGAGTTTGAGCAAGGAGACTGTGTCAGATAGGATCAAGGTAATTGTATTGAATAGTCTAACTATAGATATCTGAAGGATATATATATTCTGTCTATTTAAATTGATAAGCAGCTCTTCTGTAATGTTTGCTTTAAGTAAGGTCTTTAAATTAGTTACAAACTGTTGGGGAACAAAGAACTTGATAATATTTTGTTTCAGTTTCATTACCATCTCTTTTTAAGTATTTCAAGTATTTTTAGATATTAATTTCTATTTGAAGTCAACAAAAACCATATAATTACCTAAATACCGATCATATTTTCTATATATTTCCCCTTTGACCTTAAGTACACTTAATCGCCTGCAAGTTTCTTCCTAGAAAACCTTCATCTTGAGGCACTTCATTAGCGCCAAATAATTGGATCGTGGCTTGGCGAAACGCTTGAACTGCGAACTCTCACTCTCTCTCTGCGTTGTCCGGCGAAAGCAAAATTAATTAACGTTGCTGCAAACTTTTGCCACTACAATCTTTTGTCATAGTTTTCCTCCGGCTCCATTTGGTGACCCAACCGTTCCGCTGTCCCGTTAGCCTCTCAAGTTTTCCAGAACGGAAAAATGTCACGCAAATAACAAAAGCAACGTTTTGGCTGCTTTTTTTCGTGAAAAGCTGCAGGGGGGGCTAAAAGCGTTCGGGAGCGAGAGCAAACAAAACTTAAAACTGGCTGGCAGTTTCAGTGTTTCAGTCCGATCCACTAAACCCCCTTTCCCGCTATTCCGCCTGTGCCCGCTATTCCCCCGGAGGATATTCGGTCATTTTGGACTTGCAACTTTTGTACGCTTTTCCCCGGAAGAAGAGGAAAACGGCCGGGAAGTACCATAGTATTTGTGCGTATTTTTCACCCCCTTCCGCAGAACCTTGGGTTCCTTGAAATAAAGCAGAGTGTCTTTTAATTGTTTTTTACCAACTGTCCAGGATAACGTTTTAAGAGCACAATTAAATGTTTAGCCCCGTATTGTTTAAAAAGTTTAAACCATATAAATTATATTACATATAACAATATAATAAATAAGTATACCGTTACTACAAATTACTTTTATAGTTTGTTAATCAACGAATGCGTTTTAGCAACAAGTTTGGTATGAGAAAACCTTCAAATTTGTCTTAAAGACTATGGAAATTTGCCGATAAAGTTAAGAAATGCAAAATAAAAACACAAAAAAGTGGAAGCATAAATCGTTGGATTTACACTCAGAGCAATGCAATTGGAACAATTGCCGCATTTCATTTGCTTCACCCGCCTCGTTTTTTTCCTGAGTTTTCTTTCTTTTTGCTTTTATTTGTTTGTTTGTTGCTGTGTGTTTGCCGCCGAAATTGAATTTCTCTCTCGTTCGCTCTCGCTGAGCGGAAAACAATAAACAAGCCAAGTGAAAAGGCGACGGAGCGGAGCAGCGGAAGATGAATGGAAGCTGCCGGCGGAAGGAAAGCGAAGGTAACCAAGTTGCGTATACGCCACGTTGCCCTCGAGCTGACTTTCTTTTTGCTTTTTTTGTTTTGTGTTTGCAGACCTTCGAAAGGGGTAATTCGATTTGAACAGCGAACTTGCAAAGGTCCAGAGAAGAAAATACAGAACTTTCAATTGAATGAATAATACCTTTAAAGCTGCTTAAGTAAAGGAAAACTGTAAATACTTCCAAGGAACTGGCAATCATAAGTGCTCAATATTGTTTACATAAGTTTGAGCATATTTATAGAAGCTATAGTGCACTCAATAATAATTAAAGAGCATTAAGAATTTGTCTTAAGCCAATTATTATCCCTTCCGTTCTCCGCAGGGCTTTTTACACGCCTCATGTCGCTTTCCTTGGCACATTGTTTGGCCAAAACGGAAGGAAACACTTTCATTATCACTTTGACGCTGCAAATTTATGGCGCCAATGGAGCAAAGTCGAAGTTTACACTCCTGCGTGGCCAGTGCACGATTACGTCTTATGTATCCCTTCGATTAAGTCTTCGTTCGAAGAAAATGTAATGCAAGGAGCGGAAGGAGGATAAAGGTTTAAACAGTTGTTACAATTCCTGAGCAATCGATGTCCTCAGGATTACGTTAGGTTGCCACCAACAAAATGAGGTGTTTAAACTTCTTTGCGGAGTTATTATATACATAGTTCGGAAATTATCAAGTACCAATAAAGACAAAAATACAAAAATAAAGTAAATTACTGCCGCCGGCCGATCTCGTGGTTTGAATGTGGAAGTTTTTATGGATAATGTCCTGCTAGCTACCCGAATCAGTTTATGTGAACAAGGAATTAAACTAATTCTCAGGATTTACACATACAGAAAATGGAGATCAAAGAGGCGGTTTCATGTTTATTATATTATTATTATTATTATTATATTTATTATAATATAGCCCGATAATTATTCAGTTGTAGACTCAGAATTTAGTTTAGACTCGGCATTTTAGTCTTTTCTTGTGTTCCATAAATTTAGAAAATGTATGCGTAGGTAATTGGTGTTTTTAATTTTTGTACCCGTGTCTTGCTACCTTAATTACCCTAACCAATCGATATCAGCTATGAAAGGTACAGACATTGCTGGATTGTCTACAGTTCAAGAAAAACGATGAAGGCGTTCACAGGCTTACTGGGAATGCTCCTTCTTGGAGCTATTCTGGCTGAGGACATTTCGAAGAAGCCAAGTCAGTCAAAGAATAGGGCGGAATGTACAAACTTTGCCGGGGATTTGTACTATAGAGTGCAGGAATCCTTACCGGAGGAACAACACTTTGTGATATCACCCTTGGGAGTTTCCTCGCTGCTTGGAACGCTCCTGTTCGCCGTGGATCAAACTTCTGCCATCGAAATCGCCAATTTCCTATATCCGAAATGTAGGAATCCAGATGAAGACATCTCAAGTCCCTCGATCCTTGAGCGACAGGGATCTCGTCTTTCAATGGCCACTGTTGCTTTGGTTCGAGATGGAGTTGCTGTGGACAAAAAGTTCGAGAATCAGGCTGCTGAGCTGGGCTCCTACGTGTTTAGGACAAACTTTTTGTCGTATAGAAATGAATTCAATGACTTTTTCACTAGCAAGACCAATGAGAGGAGACTCTATCCTATGGACCCTGGACTTTTAACCGACCCACCAGGCCCAGAAAGCCGTCTCCTCTTCTACAATGGTATGCGGTACACAGGTCGATTTGGACAGAAATTCTCTTATTTGAATGGCAAACTGTTTGCACCAAGGGTCCAGGCACTACACGGCCATATTCCAGAGCTGAAAGCCCAGGTCCTGGGCCTTCCACTGCTCAATACCACTTCGTGTCTGCTGATCCTGCGACCCGATATAGGAGTCGAATTAAAAAGTGTGGCGATAAGACTTCGTACGGTGGATGTGCGCCAGTTGCCCAGCCAACTGAACCCGACTACGATGGACATAACGCTGAAACAAATGTTTGAAAAAAGTTATATATTTTTGCGCGAACCTTTGATGGAAGCAGGCATAACAAGCGTTTTCAACGAAACCACTGCCGACTTGAGTGCCTTCAATAAGGAAGTGCCATTGGATGACGCGCTGGTAGTAACTCTAATCAGCCTGTTCGAAAACGGAATTAATACCGATGAAGAGGACTCAAATTATGACATTGAGAAAATTGAGAATTCAGTCGCATATCCAAAGTTCGAGGCTCTCAACAACTTTATTTATGCCATTGTAGATCCAGAGCGTGTCTATTTAATGGGCCGCCGTACTGAGTCAAAATGGTAAAGCCCAGAATCTGAGTTAATAAACGGAAAGCCTTTTGTTTTATTACATAATCGTGGTAAATGTAAAGTGCAAAGGGGCCTGACCAATCGATTTTGATGTAATAGTCTTGAGAGAGAATCCATTATCCGCTTACCAAATTTTCATTATTATCTTAATCTAATTAATATAGTTTTTCCTTTGACTTCTTTGTACTATCTTGAGCTCCTTCTTGGTGTTTTCTTAATCAGCAAAGTGTCCTTTTTGAGCCCTTCTTATGACATAATTAAGTGCGGCAATTCGTTCACCAATATTATTCTTACACTCTGCTATATTTTCCATAGACAATTTACGAATTTTCCTAGGTAACCCCAGCTCGTTTCCCTTCCCTCTCTTTCCCTCTCTCCGTCTCTTGACTGTTTTCCTTTATTATTTGCCTCCTCTGGTATATTTCAGTAGCTTTGTTTTGGCCAAGTCCTGTGCTCGTCAGCTGTAACAATTTGCGGAAATTAGCCAAGGTGTTTTATGGTCATCACCATCGACCTGCCTCCTTTCGTCCTGCGCAGTCATCGGATGAAGGAGCAGAGTGGCACTTGCAAGTGGATTGTTGTCCGTCCGGCAACGTGAAAATGTTGACTTTTTCTTCGGTTTGCTTTTCCAACACTCCAAACACTCCGATCCCCATTGTTGGGCTTCCCCTCTGGGGGCTTTTTTAATTGAGGTCTAAGCTGTAATTAAGCAGCTCGGCCTTTTGCCATGTGCTCTAATTCTATTTTTGCAGTTTAATGAAGTCCTTGGCAGCAGGATATTCCCCCATTCGTTTCTTCGTTGGCTTTGGTTGGTTCGTTACCTGTCACCTGGCCAAATTGGCTGGCATTATTCATTCACTGTCCTTTAAAGCCAGGCCGATATAGGCAGTCCTTGCTCTGTTGTGTTCGGGCCGGTCTTAAATGCCAATATATCACTGGCTAACAACAAGGCCCTGTTTCAATACAGTTGTGGCCAAGAAAGTAACATGTTTCAATATCGAAAACTCTGGATTTGTAAATTAAATGTCAACAAAATACCAATTTCTTAGAGAAGTAGAGATTCAAAGTAAGTTTATATTTTTTTCTATTTATTTATACCACTATTCTTTTAGCCATCGCTGTGCGCGTGTTTGTCTAGCTGTCAGTGTGTTAGTGTTGTGCCGTATAACATGCATCACACACACACACACACACACTCACACGTGTCTCCACAGGATACTAATTATGATTGCGGTGGCATGGCAAGGACATTGAAGCGTCTGCTCGTCCTTGCACCTTCATCAGCCAGATGAGTAAATGCAGTCGCTCGAGTGTGTGTGTGTGTGTGCATAAGCCGGTGTTTGTGAATGAGAAGCTTTAAAAGCATTCGCACATCTCCTATAAATGGCATCCGTGTTGAAAGGATATTCCTCCTTTGAGGGAGGGGATTTCCACAGTGAGGAACTTTTTCAGGAGTCCACTCTAATCTTCTTTGCCCCCGGCTAATTGAAATGTAATCTGTCTTAACTTTTTGACAAAGTTTTCAGCACTTTTTTTTACTAAGGTTCTCTTTATTTTTGATGTTTTACTTCCTGAAAAGGGATTAAGATAGAATATAATTGGGGGAATGTAGGAAGAAAACCTTTATTTAAAGATATATATCACATCCTTCTTCTCCATTTCTTACTTAAGGTTAATGAATAACTTTACGAGTAAGTAGGAAACATTTATTTTAATTTATATTTCACTTAATCTTATTGCATTTGTTACTCAACTTAACTATTCTATTGAATTGAAACCCAAACTATCACTAAGCACAATACCTTTCTTTATCCAAACCTCTTGCTTGGCACTCTATTAATATTGTAGCGAATTTAACCCCTTGTTATCGACCATCAGGAGGTTGCTACTATTTAACCCAACAATATTAAGCTTTAACCCTTGCAATCTTGACAGCAGTTCAAACACCGCCCAGCCGCCCCTCCAGCGTCAACTCTTGGGTATTTCAATTTCGTTTGGTTACAAATCGTGAACCCCGCCAGAACTCAACCCTTGCCTTCGTTGGCCTTTTGGAATTCAATAAAGAACCCGGTCCCAGAGTCCCGGAGACCATCATAAATTTTCGTCATTCTCAGCTGCACCTTTGGGCGAATTTCCACCACCCCTTTTACCGCAAAACACCTGTACTGCCACGCCCCTCTTCTCCTCGAGCCATTTGTCAGAGTTTCGCCAGGATGTGCGGGCTGACGGCGCAGGAGAATGGGTTTTCCAAATAGGAATAGCTGCCAAGTCATGTCATTGCCTGCTCATCTACATAGACGCAGAGATCCTGACGGGGATGGGGGCAGGATACACGGCGAAGGCTCGTATGCAAAACTACGTTCGTGACTCGGTGCCAACTACGTGTCCTTCCCCTTTTTCGCGACTTATATTTACTGTTTTTCAAATTGCAGTTTGCAACTTTTTGGCTGCCAGCGTTTTTTTTGTTTCCACATCCAGAGATCCAACAGAACCGATTTTTCCCAACTGTCTTCCAGAATGTGTTTATGGCTTCTTAATTGTAGGTGTGTGTGTGTGTGCCACGGTGGAGAATTAAGTATAATAATAAATTTTTGTCATGGGTAATCTATTCAATTTTCTTACCCGTGGCTTAATTACCCTAACCAATCGATATCAGCTATGAAAGGTACAGACGTTGCTGGATTGTCTACAGTTCAAGAGAAACGATGAAGCGTTCACAGGCTTACTGGGAATGCTCCTTCTTGGAGCTATTCTGGCTGAGGACAGTTCGGAGGACTCAAGTCAGTCAGAGGAAGAGAGCGATGTACAAACTTTGCGGGAGAATTGTACTTCGATGGAGGAGTCCTTACCGGATGATGAAGACTTTGTGATATCACCGTTGGGAGTTTCCTCGCTGCTTGGAACGCTCCTGTTCGCTGTGAATCGAACTTCTGCAATCGAAATCGCCAATTTCCTATATCCGAAATGTGATAAATCAAGTGAAGACATCTCAAGTCCCTCGGTCCCAGAGCCACAGGGATCTCAACTTACCATGGCAACTGTTGCTTTGGTTCGAAGAGGAGTTGATGTTGACAAGCAGTTCGTGGATCAGGCTGCTGAGCTGGGCTCCTATGTGTTTAAGACAAGCTTTTGGAGATATAGAAATGAATTCAATGAGTTCGTCTTTAACAAGACCAATGATAGATCCTTCTTTGCTATGGATGGACTTTTAACGCATAAAATGGAACCAGGCGTAGATACCCGCCTGCTTTTCTACAACAATGTCCGCTACAGAGCTCAATTCGAACAGAAATTCTCTTATTCGAATGGGAAACTGTTTGCACCAAGAGTCAATGCACTACTCAGCCATATTCCAGAGCTGAAAGCCGACGTCATGGGCCTTCCCCTGCTTAATACCTCTGCGTATCTGCTGATCCTGCAGCCCGATAAAGGAGTCAATTTAACAAGTGTGTCGCAAAGACTTCGTACGGTGGATGTGCGACAGTTGCCCAGCAAACTGAACCCGTCTCCGATAGACATAACGATGAAAAAAATATTTAAATATAAGTATATATTATTGCGCGATGCTCTGAGGGAAGCGGGCATAAAAGCGTTTTCGACTTAGGCGCTGCCGAATTGATCGCCTTTAATAAGGAAGTGCCTTTTGATGACGCGCTGGTAGTCACCGGAATCAACCTACTTGAATACGGAATTGATACTGAAACTGAGAAAGTGCACACACATAATGTCGTTGTTAAACAGCCGGATTCGCTTGAATATGCCAAGTTCGAGGCTCTCGGTCCCTTAATTTATGCAATTGTAGACAAAGATCGTGTTTACGTAATGGGGCGCAGTCTCAGGACGGTATCTTAAAGTACAGAATCGGTATTAATAAACTGTACAGCAATTTAACCCTTTCTTTTATTACATAAACGTGAAAAATGGTAATTGATATGAGGGCCTAACCAATCAATTTGTGATTTTATAGTTCCGATGATTTTCTACAGTTGAAAGCAAACCATAAAGGTTTTAGTTTATAATAATTTATGAAGTTAAAAAGAAATTAAATGCTCGCCAAATTTTAATTAGTAGCATAGAAATTTATGAATTTTTGACTCATCTATGTATGAGTTTTTTAAACTTTGATTTGTCGGTAAAAGATATACAAATTTTGAAAAATATTGATGTAAAGAATACAAAAGTTTAGGTATTCCTTTCCTTTCTTAGGAAATTTGCCAATCTACATCTACAAACACGTTGAGATCCTGACAGGGATATTCGGCGAAGACAAAGTTCGGTGCCAACTACGTGTCTTCCCCTTTTTACGCTATTTATATTTACTGTTTTTTAAATTGCACTTTGCAACTTTTTGGCTGGCAGCGTTTTTTCCACATCCAGAGATCCAAAAGCACGAATTTTCGCGCTTGGCCCCAGAATGTGTTTATGGGTTCTTATTGTGTGTGCCACGGTAAAAAAAGAAAACGTTTTTCCCCCAATTTTTTCCTATATTATTTTGTTTATGCCAATGACTTTGACAGTTTATGTTAATCCCGGCTGTCGGCACAGGGCTGCGGATAATGGCCATAATCAGGTTGGTATAAATATTGATTAATTACCCATCATGTTTGCACATATTCCAACGGCGAATATTGTTTTCAAATATAATTAAATTGTTTTTACACATTCTTTGCCTGATTGGTGAGCATAATTAAGCTGCTTAATTGGCCATGAATTGAACAATGAACAATGTCATTGATGGAATGATTAACTGGGCTAACAGGAGACAAGGAAATGCACTGCTGTGCTATGAATTGATAATGGGAATGAATAATATAGAAGATAAAGTCCCCAGATTAATTTTATATTATGTATTACATTTTAAGCTTCATTTCTTGTCCTTGAGTGGTATTAATTTAAATGTATACTTACTGTACGCATTATTGATTTTTTATAGAAGAATTAAATACAATAATGTTTTCTAAATCAAATTAAAGGTTTCATAGATGAAAAAGCCACTAAAATTAAAATTCTAAACGGAATACTTTTGGCCCTTAGTAAAACGTATA